TGAAAATCTGAACAGTAACATCTCAAATCCTGGAAACTTTTAGAAAGTCATAAATAAATTACAAACTCCCCCAATCCACTCCCAACCCTCCAGTGTCAAAGTGGGTAACCAAACCCTGCAACTTCCCTTAGATGTAGTAAATGCCTTTAACAATTATTTTGTCGGATGCTCTACTGCCCTGATTGCCAAGCTAATAAATGACACACATCCTGAAACTACAAATGTGGATCAGGCCCCACTAAATTTGCAAAGGCCCAATATAGATAAGTTTAATTTTAGACCTGTACCTGTTAGTGTCATTAAAAAACATCTTAATAATCTAAAAATGAAAAACCAGTCCGGACCTGATCAAATCCCAGCAATGCTGTTGAAGCTCAGTGCGCCGGCAATTGCTAAACCCGTCTCAACTCTAATTAACGAATCCTTGGTGTCTGGATACATACCCAAACTTTGGAAGACTGCGAGAGTAGTGCCTATCCATAAAAGTGGTGACACTACTTTGGTTTCTAACTATCGCCCAATATCATTGCTCCCGGTATTGTCAAAAATCTTAGAAAAATGTGTCCATATGCAACTTTGTGAGTACTACCAACAATTAAACTATCTGACCCCTGATCAATCAGGCTTTCGCCAGAATCACTCCACTACAACTGCCCTCTTAAAAGTTTGCAATGACATCCAAACTGGCATGGAACAAGGAGCCCTAACTGGAGCTATTTTCCTTGATTTTGCTAAGGCCTTTGACACAGTAGACCACGACATTCTACTGCACAAACTCAAAAACTCAGGTATTGATGATCATTCTCTAAACTGGTTTCGATCGTATGTATCGGATCGCTCGCAATATGTGTCCATTTCTGACAGTGACTCCCTCCCTCTCCCAGTCACGTGTGCTGTTCCCCAGGGTTCCATTCTCGGCCCCCTACTATTTACATTATTTATAAATGATCTGCCTAATGTCTGCCAATCCTCAAATGTACACATGTACGAAGATGACACGGTAATCTATGCGAGCAAATCCAATCTACCGCAACTTGAGGCTTTGCTCCAAGACCAGTTTACAGAGGTAGAAAAGTGGATCGCAAAAAACAAACTCTTCCTGAACACTGACAAAACTGTCACAATGATCTCTGGAACAGTGCCTAAATTACACAATTCCCACCTATCCATCAAAACAAATTCAAATGGCACACTGACCACAGTCCACTCTTTCAAATACTTGGGTATGATATTAGACCCCAATCTATCTTTTGGCCTGCACATAGAAAAGCTTGCATCTAAACTTTATCCAAAATTAGGTGCTCTGTACAGAAACAAATCCTGCCTAAGCCCTACAGTAAAGGAAAAGATTGTACAGCAAATGCTGATGCCAATCATTGATTACGGGCATGTAGTATATGCTTCTGCATCGCAATCCCACATTAATAAACTCAACACATTGTATAACTCGTTCTGCCGATTTGTGCTACAATGTAATTACAAGACCCACCATTGTGACATGCTAAAAGAAAGAAACTGGCTGTCGCTGAAATCCAGACGCACCTTTCATCTTTCCAGCCTTGTTTTTAAGAGCTTTTCTGGGAAACTCCCACCCTCCCTGAACAAAATGCTTTCCCCAGCTGTTCCCACCTCCTATAAGCTCCGATCCAGTACATGCACTTTACTTAGTCTACCTCAATACAAAAAGAAAGCGTCCCGATCCTCCTTCTCCTACAGAGCACCGCAATTGTGGAACGACCTCCCGCACAATTTCAAATCTTCCCTAAGCCTAAAGTCATTTAAGAGATCCCTCTCTACATACCTCAAAACAGAATGCACGTGTCATGGTTGATTATATATTTCCTGCCTGTTCTATGTTCAATTTTGTATATATTGTGTATTAATATTGTTTTTGTATTTTGTTGTACCCTAATGTAACAATGCGATGATTTGTGGACCCAGGACATACTTGAAAACGAGAGAAATCTCAATGTATCTTTCCTGGTAAAATATTGTATAAATAAGTAAATAAATGATGCTGCAATATTTCTTACCATAATACTTTTTACTAGATTGAGCTACATATTAACTTAGGTATTAACCCCTTAAGGACACATGACGGAAATATTCCGTCATGATTCCCTTTTATTCCAGAAGTTGTGTCCTTAAGGCTGTTAAGTTGCATTTATTGTAACTTTGTTGCGAGTTCTCTGAGCTTAGCAGCTCTGTATCCCTCAGTATTTATCCATACATAGCTATAGGTCAAGCAGTCTGGTGTGCAGTGGTGTATCCTGGTTTTGTGCTGCCCTAGGCAGGACAAAACTCAGGCGCCCCCCTCCCCCCACGCCACCCCCACCCAACCCTTCCCCCCCCGCCCCACCTTCTAAATACACACACACAGTCAGACACAAACACACAGACAGTCAGACACAAACACACAAACACACAGTCAAACACACACAGTCAGACACAAACACACACACACAGTCAGACACAAACACACAAACACACACATGCACACAGTCAGACACAAACACACACACATGCACACAGACGCACACACACAGTCAGACACAAACACACACAGAATCACTCACATTAACACTTTTTTTTTTTAATTTAAACTCACCCCCCCCCAGCCTCCTTACCTTTGGGAATGCTGGGGGGGTCTCTCCCTGGTGGTCCAGTGGCTGCCGGCCGGGCTGGGTGGGCGGCGCTGGCTGCTGTGCGGGCGGCTGGCAAGGGAGCACTTCCTCTGAGCACTCTGCTCAGCTCCCTCGCGCGCCGCATAGTGAGGCTGGGAGCCGGAAGATTACGTGAGGCTAACTAGGAATTTGCCCTGGGCATTTGGGGGCGGCGTTTTTTGCCGCCCCCTGAAAAATGCCGTCCAAGGCAAATGCCTTGTTTGCCTCGCGGCTAATACGTCCCTGCTGGTGTGTGTAAACTCCCTTTTTTGAAATATATTGTTTGAGATGAAGATTTGTGATCTTTCTTATAATTCTCTCTATCCTTTCTGGAGATAAAGTAATTGTCTCCATGACAGTGTCTATTATGGTGTACTAAAAAAATGTAATTTTCTGGGATGGAACCATAGAGCTCTTTTCAATGTTTATCTTCCACCCATGTTCTAGAAGACAATCGATAGTCTGGGTATGTAGAGATACTGTATGATTGGATAAACCTATAATCAGGAAGTCGTCTAGATAATGGTAGATCTTGAAGGTTCTTTATTCGAAAAAAGGCGACCAGGGCAATAATGAAAATGTTCTTGGGGCCAGACTCAATCCAAATGGGAGACCCTTGAATTGGTAATGCTTCCCTGTAATCCAAAATATTAGGAACCTACATTGATTTTGTGGTTAGGGATCTGATAATATGCGTCCTTTAGATAGGTGGATGTCATCCACTCTCCAATCTTTATATTGGGCAGAATTGTAGCAATTGACTAAATCTTTGACGTTCTTGATTTCAATTTGTAATTCACATTCTTTAGGTCCAAATTGAGCTTACAATTTTCCCTGTGGTTTGGGAGCCAAAAAAACATAGATTAATGGCACCTGACGTGTTCTCTGTAAGGGGCTTCTATATCTTGGCTTTCCAGAAGATGTGAAATACAACTTTTCACGGCCCTTTCTTTTTAATCTTTTGATATCTGAAAATGACCGAAGAAATTCTGAGTAGGGAAGGTGTTGAATTTTATCCTATAGCCTTCTTTTAGAATCAATAGGACCCAGGTAACTAATGCTTTGGCTCATCCAGGACAGAAAAGATGACGTCTCCCTCCTATAACTCCTGGCTGGACCTGCAAACATTCCGAAATTCTTATTTGGTCTGGATCCTCTTTCTCAACATGTTTTGAATGCGCCGGTTTGATAATTTCTCCAATTAGAGCTTCTGGAATACTTCTGTCCTGGCCTATATGCTCTTTTCGAAAGGAATGATCTATTTTGTGTTTCCAAGTTGATTACTCAAATCTCTGCTTTTCTTGACGAAGAAATGCCTTTTTCCCCCATTAGCATAAATCTCCACAGGGAGGCTTTCGTAGCATAATTTGCTTCCCAAGAGTGTAGCCATAATGCTCTTCGTGATGCAATAGAAAGTGCCATGCTCTTTGCCACTATTTTGGCAATGTCCAAGGAAGCCTCAGAGGTTCTTTTTGCAAATTATTGCAGCATTAATGTTTGGAACAGTATTCTATGACTTGCAGTACTCTACAGCATTCGGATATATCTTGAATGCTTTGTTCTTTAGAGTAACTTTTCTCTCTGGTTTATTTCATTCTTCATTGATGATTTCCTTATTGGTAGAGTGTACGAGAAAAGTGGGTCTGTTTGCTTTGAGAACTGTCAGATTCCTTTGTATCCGATCTCACCTCTGGAATTCTTAAGAGGTCTCTTATAAGGTTTAATCAGTTTATCAACTGCTCTTGAATCCAGAGATCAAGAACATCCTATCTCCTCTTTTTCTTCTAATATGTCCTATATCATGTGTGAATTTTCATCAGAATCTGTAGAAATTGTCTCAATTCGGGGACATTTTGATGATACTCCTTTTTTTCCCCCAACTTATTTTTAGAGGCTCACCTACGCTTTCTGGACTTAGATCTTGAGACAGAGGGAGAAGCCATCTGACAAAAGAACAAGTACTTAAGAATGTAGGAAGAAAAAGCGCATAGAATGAGAGAGAAAATAAAAAGCTTACAAGAAAGAAAGTATTAAATGGCACCGAATGTTGAGGAAAGTCAGATCTGAGGCAGCTTACTGAAGATCCTTTGATATTTCGATATTTATACTTTAAATCAGAAACCAAATATTGAATCACAGCTTTGATACATTGTGATTCAGGTTGGATAAGACACAACCCCAGTTTAGCCCGGCTGTCGCTTTACTTCCATTTGAATCGACCACGGCAAGTTAGCGAAATGCGTAAGAATGCGTTTATTGCTGAAGACGACAGAACCGTCCTGGCTTACAGAAAACACAACACAATCACAAAGCTTTTAATTTTTTATTCATTTTACACCCAAAAAAAAACCAAACATTTTTAAAATGACCTTTTAGACATTTATAAAGCAATATACACACAGTGTTCAGATGTGAGTTATTGTGTCTGTAGACACATAGAAAACATGGGAGGTTTTCATGATGTGATTAATATTCATTACTGCATAATTAGTACAACTATCAGGGAAAAAACAAACTATTACAACATGGAGAAGTAATCATTGAAACCCTGAAAAAGCTCCCATCCCACATTATAAAGCTCCCATGCAGTAGTTGTAGGACAACAATCCTTTGTTTCGTATAGTTCCACCCCCTGCCCAACCTGTCACAGGTGGGTTTCATAGTAGATGGACAAGGTACGTCACACAGATGGACAATAAGAATGGGTGTCTTGGCCATTGTAAGCCACTGTGCGTGTGTCTCGTAACAGGGAGAAACATTCAAACATCGTTCCTTTAATGCAAAATAATGGAAAACTCAACTGGTTACTAAAAAGTGTAAAAGATTCTTTAATTTGGTCTATGTATATTGAATAGATTTATGCCTGATGCTTGTTTTTATTTTGTCACTATAGGGGTTTATTTACATTATGGGTATCTCTTCCAGGTAGTTCTGTTATTATACACTTTATTACACAAGTGAACGAACACAAAAATGTGCATGCAATGTGCATACGTACAGTGCAATTCAATAAGCAGCTATACAAAAATAAATCCTCTCTAAGTTACAGCAAAACAAATGCCTAAAGTCAGCTCTAAGTGGATATGACCCATCTATTTCATATCAATAGAATGTTTAAAGAGGTCTAGATTTCAGTTCTTAGATACCAATAAAGGATATCCCAATCAGTAGAATTCGTAACAGGGTTAATATCCACAATAAAAAAATTTTTGCGAGTGCATTGATTTAGACCGTTAGAGGTCTTTATTTATGTTTAGAGATCAATGTAAAATCCACTTTTACTAATAAAAATCATTGGAGGAGATGAGAAATTGCATCTCTATACAAATATTGGGAGAATCGGATTATACCACAGAGCTTGCGATTAATGTTAGCAACGAATTAAGGTGATCCAGAAATTAATGTAGTATGGGCTCAGATTTTAGATAATTGTTCATATGAAATTATAAAAACTATACAATTTGTAAACGTAAAATGATGTTAAGAGGAAATAAAGTAATTTTAAAGAAGTATTGATTCCTTATCTAGAACTTCCAGAATGTATAATTGATGGAAAATAATAGACAAGAAATTAGAAAGAATTTTTAAGATTATTAATATAAAACATAAAAAAATTAAATAAAGGAAATTTTTAGATCAGAATGACTTTAGAGAATAGTGTTAGTAATTTTCATAAAGAGGAAAATATTCTGCCTTAGGAGTCAAAGGAAATAATGCAAATAAAGTATGCCCCAATCAAGTAGGGGAAAACCATATAGATCGAGGATTTGTTCCTCTAAGAACTCATCGAAGGTCAATGGCAGAAAAAAAATACACAAAATTATTATTTAGAAAAATACAATACCCCCAGAACACCAAAGGGGGAGGTGAAGGGCTGGACTACTGTTACATATAAAAAGCAAAGACATATGGATAAAATTTTTTATATGTAACCTACCTATCCTCCCTATTACACAAGTATGTCCCGTCGAGGCCCCTGCGCTCTGCCGAGGACCTACGTCTATCCTCTGTCCATACTCCCACATCTGACGCTCACCTCCATGACTTCTCCAGAACTGCACCTTTTCTGTGGAACTCCCTTTCCCTCTCTGTTAGACTTTCACCCAGTCTCCACTCCCTCAAAAAAAAAAAAAAAAAAAAATTCTTTGAAAACTCCCTTTTTCAGGAAAGAATATCAATTAAACGGTTAGTGGGGTTTCATTCCCCTCCCCCCCATGACTCCTCTCCTGCAACGGTTGAAAATAACTTACTAAGTTCTAGCAGCCTATTTCATTACCCCAACTTATACACTTTGTGTTACTATGGCCTACAACCTTTAGCATGTAAGCTAATTGAAAAGGGCCCTCAATCCCTCTGTTACTGTCACTATACCCCACTCCCTCTAACATGTAAACTCACTGAGCAGGGCCCTCAATCCCTCTGTTACTGTGTCACTATACCCCCACTCCCTCTAACATGTAAACTCACTGAGCAGGCCCTCAATCCCTCTGTTACTGTGTCACTATACCCCACTCCCTCTAACATGTAAACTCACTGAGCAGGCCCTCAATCCCTCTGTTACTGTGTCACTATACCCCACTCCCTCTAACATGTAAGCTCACTGAGCAGGCCCTCAATCCCTCTGTTACTGTCACTATACCCTACTCCCTCTAGCATGTAAACTCATTGAGCAGGCCTTCAATCCCTCTGTTACTGTCACTATACCCCACTCCCTCTAACATGTAAACTCACTGAGCAGGCCCTCAATCCCTCTGTTACTGTCACTATACCCCATTCCCTCTAACATGTAAACTCACTGAGCAGGGCCCCCAACCTCTTTGTTCCTGTGCGTCCACTTGTCTGGGTTCAACTACGAGTGTTAGTCCACCCACTGTACAGCGCTACAGAATTTGCTGGCGCTATATAAATAAAATAATAACATAAAGCGGGACAACGAAAGCAGCCAGAAAATTTCTAGGTCCAGAACGAATGTATATACATGGTCAACATCTGATCGATCTAAAATTCTAATGAAGGATCATCTCTTAACCATCATAAAAGTCTAAATAATCAAGTAGAGGAGAATTTGTTACCATTACTTTAGTCAACATTTCAATGTTTCCACTTGGAAGAAATGCACATACGATAAAGCCGTCTAGCAATGTAACAATTAAGATTAGAAATACAATAAAAAAAAGAAACTGATTTAATATGATATAGAGCTTCAACAAAACTAAAAAAAAAAAAGAAAAAAAAGGCACAAATCGACAATGCCAACCAACTTTAGAAAATATGGATAACAAACGATTCTACAACAAGAGAATCAAACATCTGAATGTAATTTAAAATGCAGTCTGATACTTTACATATACATTATATATAACAAACTATCAATATTTGGAGCAGCCATTTTACTTATACAGCAGACAACATCTAAGGTAGCTTTGGTCATTACTACATTAGAAATAGCAGTGCTGATAACGTATGTAAAACGTTGATTGGTATATCACAAGTTATAAGTGTCGCACACAGCCCTTCAAAAGGTGCTCTATTAGAAAAATAAGATGGCTGCTGTCCATCCACGTTCATTCTTTAATATCTGGCATATTGAAATGAATATTGCCATCAAGAACATTAGGTAAAATATCTATATTAAAACTATGGTCAATATGAGGCACATTGGCCTGACTTATATTTCGGCTATAATGACAGAGCGATTGTTCCTAGGAGATTGATAAAATTGACAATTTGGTTGTACCAAGACATTCCCCAGGCGCGACACCTGTTCACAGAAGAAAAGATCAAATCCTTGACTAAGATGCTTAATGTAGACACCCCTAACTTCAAGCAATGCTTCAGATATAAACAGCTGACAGAATTCATCGCCTCTGTTCCACAGAGACCCCTTCTATCGAGGGACCTTAGCCCAATGGAGGCGATCTGTACAGACACTGATCCCCTGGAACATTGGATATCAACTATATATAATATGATCCTTACACAGCAGAGACCACCACACTTTATGTGGAAATGGGAGGAGGCCTTGGGTGAAACACTTACTACCACACAGTGGCACAAAATCTGTGATCTCACGCAACACTGCACAGTATCCAGTAAAACATAGGGGACTGCGGACAAATTGCTAACTTATTGGTATAGGACTCCCCAGTCAGTGCATGCAATGATACCAGCCATAGATGAGAGATGTTGGAGGTGTGGAGAAGAGGTGAGAGTATCATCCAAAGATTTTCAGATGACCCGCACCCTTAGAGATGTGAGAGACGGGACACAATGCTATGATGCAGCCCCCTTTTCATACCTGAAAATACTAAGCACCTTTAAACCCCACTCCCTTCTCCCCCCCCTTTTCCCTGTTATTTAACAACTTGTCACCTCCTTTGACCTTTTTAATGCCATGCTTCTTTGTAGCTGCCACTGGTGACTAAGATAGTGCCCCTCCCTCACATAGAGAGACAGACACATGCTGATACTACACAGACAACCCATCTGACTGATCACCAGGGCAAAAACCTAGCACAAGCATTGTTACTGAAATGCCGTACTTCTGACGTCATACAGTAAACGAGATATTTCTCAAGTAAATAACATGCTGGTAACCAACTCCATAAAAATTTAGACCTGCATGTCTCACATGTTGCTTAGATCAGTGTTTCCCAACCCAGTCCTCAAGGCACACCTACCAGTCCAGGATTTAGGGATTACCCAGTTGTATCTAAGGTGTTTTTTTTCTTCTTTGTAAAAACACCTTAGACACAACTGGGTAATCCCTATATCCTGGACTGGTAGGTGTGCCTTGAGGACTGGGTTGGGAAAAACTGGCTTAGATGTTCACGGAACCTGCAAGTTACACAGTTTCACATTTAACTGATACATACCTGTGTGTCTTGTACTTCTCTGTTATATGTTGTATTCAATATGAAAAATGTTTCTCAAAAAAAAAATGACAAGAGGATCTCTTGTTTAAATAAACCGATATTCACAAAAATACATTTGACAATTTGGGGCACAAATAAATTATATTTTGCAGGGGAAATCAATAATTCAGAATTCCATTATACATTTAAAAATTAAAGGATAATAGGGCAATATTTATACACAGGCTATTAACGTTCTGTTTCCTACAGTCAGGAGGTGCCATATTAGTGTGATGCTGTAGGGATGAGTAACATTCAGTGCATTAATCTGATTCTATCGACCCAACTCTGTTGCGTTGGTGCTAGAACCCTGAAAGACTTGGCTGTAAAGTAAATCATAATGGACGTCCCTTTTGGAATAAAAGCTATACACACGTTTAGCTTTGGAAAAAGTGGTCTCATCCTTTCCATCTACCAGTTTATAAACAGGCCCTATTGTATTATTTGCGCTGGACGTTTATTTTACAGAAATGAACCTGGGAGGAACGGAAAAATGGAAATTTCACATATTCTAAAGAATATCAGCTGGAAGGGACAAAAATAAATAAATTAAAAAATTGGAAATTCAAATATTCATAGAATTTAGCTTGTTGGAGCAGGGGCTTCTACTCTTGTAGCTGATGATATTTAACAAATAATTTAAATACAGAATATAACATTCTAGAATTGTAAAGCGCTGAGGAATATGCTGGCGCTATATAAATGATAAATATTCTATTGAAAGTCAGCTGGAAAGGTTGAAAATGAATGGGAATATTTTTTAAGAATATAAATGAGATTCTCAGTTTTCATAATTCGCTTTATCAATATTTAATGTGATACAACTTCACTTTAATTTAACTTTACTATAATTAACCTTTGTTCTAAGAAACCCAAATTCTTGAATTGCATACATTGGTTAATTTATAAAACTTGGGGGGATGGAGGGGAGGGGGAAATAAAATATTTGCTAGCCATAATTATTAATTTATCAGAATTTCTTTTCTGTAGCCCATTGTTCTGCAATGTGGTAAGACGACAAACTGATTTAACATTTTATTTATGAACCACAAATATTATAGGATTAACAACTTTGTTCACATATACTGAATGTCAGTGCTTTAAAAAATAATAAAATGCCTTATAGAGAGAACTTGAGAATCAAACTTTTTTGTAAGAAATTTCCACCATTTTTTTTTTTTTTTTTTTTACATAGTTCAACAATTCGGAATGGAGTGTTTAAAACCCTAAAAAAAAAAAAAAAAAATCACAATTATCAACAGCAACATTTTCACCGATCACACAGAAGACAAGATACAGCAAACATATAAAAATGTCAGATATGTGTTAGACTAAGAGTAAAATGTTCCACATACAGATTGTCCTCTTACAAAAACTTTCTTTTGGCCAAGCCAGTTTCAAAATGGTAGAAAGACAGGAGAAAGCTTGTTCAGGTTCAGAAGGCAGAGTCTTAAGACCTTAAGTGCTACTCAGACATCTAGTCCACCTGAGGAGCGTACGCATTTGACGAAGGACAACGAGAACATTGGTCTATTGCACAAAAGCCATATCACCCGTATTACACATACAGAAGATTCAAGAGAAATCCGCTGGTTTTTCAGATAGCTGCTTGTTATCTCCTGGCCTTTCTGGGGAGTATATTGGCAATGAGAAGTCCAATATTAAAGTCCTCAACTCACTTGATATAGTTATAGGTCCGAGGAGCCAGCAAGATCAGGCAGAACAAAAATCGGCTCAATAGTTCCTACCGATCGCCAGTGCAGTCACGAGGAGCGTGTCTTTTATAATCTCATGAAATCACAGATGGGCTATATGTCAATATCCCTAAAAAAAAATTATTTAAAAAAAAAAAAAAAAAAAATACCAAAAATGATTTTAAAAAATATGTATAAAAATCCAGAAGCCTTAAATCCTTCATAGTTTGGTTAAAGAGCCACTACAGGCCAGTGTTTACTTTGATCCAGTCTCTCATAGCAGTAACATTTGTATAGATGCCAGGTTTATTCCTACGGGCGCAGCCATCACCCCAGCTTACGACACCAGCCAGGTACATTTTATTATTACTTTCCAAACTGGACAGGGGTCCACCCGAGTCACCCTATAAAATGTAAGGAAAGACATGGTTACAATGTGCTGTGTATAAATGTAAAAACTTAAAAAAAACAAAAAAACTTTACACCACTATTTCAAAGTGACACTAGGCTACTCCCTGGAGGTAGGTAGCCTGGGCAGGGGTGGGAGGGGAGGGCGGAAGAAAGGAAGGGGAAACGTGTTAAGGCACCCGAGTTTTCTGTGGACTCTTAAGCAGGCTGTCAGCATCAGGCATGCCAGGACCAGGACCATGGGCAAACAGACAGCATGGTGTATGATACAATCTGCTAATGGATATAATTGTAAAATAGACCGCATAGTTATTACATATATAGTTTGAAAGTTTGTTTTTGCTTTTTTTTTTATGGTTTATTTTTACAAAGAATGAATTAGGCCATTTAAGATTAATATTTGGTTTAATTTTTTTGTCCTCCAGGAAAGCTGTACCATGGCACACAGGAAGGGCTAGGACGAAAAGCACCCCCTAGTTATAGTATCAAACTACCTGACAAGCGTCGATTCCTCCAGAGACAAAACCAGCGCAGATCATACGTTCCGTCAACTGGTTTTCAAGGAGCTGGTTACATTCATTATAGTTAATGATACGGATGTCCGCTTTCTGTAAGACAGATGCTCCAGTTCCTAAAAAGGAAACAATGATGAATACAGTGTCCTCCTCTTCATTTCTTCAACTCATGGCTTTTACCTTTCTTAAATGCCAATACCCCTGTCCCCTCATTATCCTCATCTTTTCACCACTGATACTTCGGTCTTTAAAGCTGCCGATGTCAATTCAATAGTAGTTTTAGTGACCCCCCCAATAACCAGGTGCCTTAAACCTCAGCCAGTCATTGCATGAGGATGCTGGGAGTTGACCTTTAATGGTTGGAGCGTTATGTAATTCTATTTTCTTTGTTGACATCAAGATTTTATCTTTGCATTTCTGGATTATTAACATAACAGCAGAATATGACTGGATCTACTGATTTTATAAGATTTAGATTTGAGGGATTACACATTCTGATCAGACCCCTTTCACATAGCAGTAAAGGATATGCTGTCCATTTGGATGTGTTGGGTTAATGGATGGGCACAGAGAGCCAAAACATGCAAAACGCCTCCTTACCCCCTTCAATTAGCGCTCCCCATCCTGTCACCCACAAACTTTTGCCAACAGGAAAAGTACGTGTGCTGTCTGGGATGCAGATCGGTTGGATAAAGTCCGTGTAGGTCACTGGGCTACTTAATTCCAACATGGCGATGTCATTATCGTAGGTATAGTCACTAAAACTTTTATGTGCCACAATGCGTTTTATTGAGCGCTGCACAACATTTTGGCTGGTGCGCTGGGCCTGGTTGTGGAGTCCCAGGTAAGCCGTCCATAAGGAGGGGTCAGAGTACCTGTAGATATAAACAAAGGGTATACACATAACTAAACTCGTTTAAAGCGGTTCCTGTGGACATTAAAACATGTTCTGTGATTTTGCACGCTCTAAAAAAAGACACTTGCCAACAAATTCTCCATGCTGTGTTGACTACACCCCTAAGAAATTACCCAGGTTTTATTAACCTATTTCTATATAAATGTTCTTAGCCCTTTTACTACCAACTTATCTGTAACAAAAGACAAAATATTGAATACCGGTTTTCTGTTTTAGGACATTCTTTTACATCTGTATGCTTAAATAGGACATTTAATGACTGGGAAAAGCTCAGATGAGTTACAAAATAATGTCATAAAGATCAGAAACCAATAATTTCTTTGATTTGCAAGCTATATAAATGATGAAAAACTACGTGTATAGGATATAACAGTGCTGCTACCAGTAAGTACACATTATTGGGAATGAATGTTCCACATATGGCCTTCTTTTATTTTTACAGAATGACCGTTAGAAATGGCTGCATACCGTATTCCTTGTAGGTCCTGAAAGCAGTGGGCAGCAGATAATAAAAGTGTGGGGGAAACCAGCGAGGCCCCACACGCGTGTCCGTCATTTCGGGCGTGTAGACTGACTTGCCAAGGGAACTCGCCAACATCTGCATTCACCCCACCCACAATCCTGGTTTTGCGGGAATATGGGCGCTTGCCACAGTCTGAAGGAGAGAGGAAAACCAAGACCGTTAATTATCTGAGGTTAATTAAACATAATGCAATGGTTTTGTGTGTCCACTAAACTTTTTATTTATTTTTTCAATATTGCCTAAGTTACATGTCTGTGTCTTAGAAACTGATACTCAACATTCTGCATGCTTTTAATCAGGAGAGAAAAAAAAAAAAACCTTAAAAAGAGCATTGGTGCAGGCATTTTTAATTTTGCAAACAGAAATATATATACACATACACACACACACACACACACACACACACACACACACACACACACACACACACACACACACACACACACACACACACACATTTATTAAATTAAAAGACCTGTTTTTATAAAACTTTAAAACAGAAAAGTTTAAAAGTTTTGGAGAAAATAATTAGATAAGATCCATGAAATCTACACAGTGCTCAAATGCGGTGTCTTAATGTGAGATGATAAAAGGCACAAACCAGTATTTAAATTATTGCTATATGGAACGGAATATAAACTTACAAATCAGTGTAACATCAGAGGGCTCCAGAGCAGTAAGGGGTAAATTTGGAGATTTGGCTCCTAATTCCAAACTAAACTTCACCCAACCGAATAAACTGAGCCGTTTTGGTGGATTCAGAATTTGGATTTCAGTTTGTGGTGCATACTGCTAGTATCTACTGCCACTTAACACCAATTCTGAACCACTAACATTCAGTTTGAGTGGTTCTTTTTGTTTTGTTTTTGTTTTTAGAGTCTCTAAAGCAATTTTTTCCTAATTTTATTGCTTTGGAAGTTTCCAACCAAATCCAAATTTCAACTGTTCACAAAAAATTTTGGAAATCAGAAATCAATCAATTCAAAAGAACCGGACATTTTGCTGAGCACAAGTCAAGTAAGGCGTTCAGTGTGAACAAAAATAAAATAAAAAAAAGTTTTAAAAATGGGAGAGGTCAAATGACCAGAGAATGGCACAACTTACTGCACATATTTGTGTCCTCATCTGAGCCATCTTGGCAATCCTGTACACCATCGCAATCTGGGTTGGTCTTTGTGATGCACTGATTGTTCTTGCATTTATAGGTAAACTTTGTACAGGTGTTGGGAGGGACTGAAACCAATGAAACAAAAAGTGAGAAAATGTGGAAACATTTATTGAATGATTAAATACGCTTCTAAAATAAATTTATATATTAGTATTATAAGTCAACATTTTATTTTATGTTATAAAAACTTAAATTATGCTTTAGTACGTACAATTCGTTCATTGTAAATAGAGATGCACAGAACTATAAACTATGCGACATCACTAATGTAACGAAATGACGGTTTCGACCTATATTATCCAGATAAATTCCATCACTATATTTAGTACATCTCAGTACGTGATCACCAACTTAACAGATGTACCTGTGCCACTTAGATTTATTATTACTACTGTAAAAGGTGACTTTTTAAAGCATGCTTCGTACCACTGCTGCAAAGATACCATGAGGTCTCTACACGCTGCAGACATGATAGGTACATTCTCTGTAGTGCAGGTCCACACACACACACACACACAATTTTCCATCCAAGTCCCATGTTCGTACAATTAAGCATTAATAAAATAAAAAAGGCTTTGGAGCCTGGAGGTATAAACACTCACCCTCTGGACAGCCAATCTCATCCGAGCCGTCTCCGCAGTTATCGGTTTTGTCACATTTCTGTGCCTCGGGGATACACTTTTTGTTCGTGCATTGAAAGTTATTATCAGGACATCCTGAAACAAAATTTTCAAAGAGGCCAGTGAGACTCTGGATGCCTTAAAAACAAAAATATCTCATATGCTAACCTCATATGATTTAATCTTAAAATCGATCAGAATCTTCTGTGTGGCCTCAATATGGCAGAAATAGAAGCTTGGAGGGGAAATGACAACCACATTTCCTGCAGGAAATTAGAGCCATATTGAGATGCACAGGAATTTAGCAATTTTTTAATTTATTTTTTTACACCTCTGTTTCATGATAAAAGGATGCATCACCCAGATATGGAATAAGACCCGTCGAAGCAGCAATGCATTGGACGCGCTCACTCTATAGCGAGAGTGCGTTCAGCATTGCACATCCAGACAGCTCAGGGATTTCGCAGCTTCTGCAATTGTAACATTTATTATTTATTTGAGTTAATCAGATGGATTACTGATATTAAGATTATAAATACAGAGTAAGTGTGACTAGCTTAATGGGTCAGCCAGAGAACGGATTCTATAATAAAGCCCTGGAACAGTCATCATTGGCAGACTAATAATATTATATACTGCAGAATTTAAACCAGGGGATTGGCAACCTTCTGTAGAATGCATATTTATTACAATCTCCCCTGATGCTTTGCCGCTTTATGGGAGTTTTAGTCCACCATACCTGGTGTGCCTACCCCTGATTAAGAAGATCCAGGTAAGTACAGATAGGCATCCCGCTGTAACATTGTGTCACGCTGTTATAAAAATTACAATAGAAATTACCACAATCCTTTTCATCGCTGCGGTCCCCACAATCGTCCACGCCATCACACAAGAAAAATTTTGGTTTGCAGATTTGGCTGTTCTTACAGCGGAATTGACTTGCAGAACAATCTAAAAAAAACAAACAAAAAAAAAAAAACATTTTTAAAGAGCTTCACTGGAATCCACAGAGTATCCAAAACTCAACTAGATATCGGGCAGGTGGTGTGAAATATAAATGTCATGTGAAAATGGAGACTGGATTGGAGTGCCAGACATTTTTTTAGGCTAAAATACAAAGTTGTATTCCTTACACGCTAGCACCCTCTTATTTCTTGCATTAACATAGCTCTCAAATATACCTTGCATTTCATACTTACTGCAATTAAGTTCATCGCTGAAATCGCTGCAGTCATTCCAGCCGTCACATTGCTGCGCCATGTTAATGCACCTGCGGTCTTTACACGTGAATTTGTCCGGACAAGCTGCATTTCATAAATTAAAAAGAAGTGGTTATAGTCCTTCCCCATACAGGAACAGTCAAACTACACAACATTTGAGATTAGACTTTCAAGAAATTACACCATTTTCCCACGATTCCATGTAACACCTTGAAAACTGTGTCCGCTTTCAAACTGCAGCAGTTTTTATCGTATAAAAAAGTAAGCCACGTCAAACAAAATCATCTCTGTAAAAGGAATATATTAGACTGTGCCAACACCTCCAAAGAGTCAGAGAAAGGACCATCCTAGGAGATGTTCTTTATGTAAAATGTGTCTCTGATTCAGCTGTTTGTTTTCTTTCGGTCCAAGTTTAAAACGTTTATTATCACCTGCGAGATCTCCGCTCCCTTAAAATGCATGCGCTGTGAGCTGGTGTCAGAGATGCAGTACATGAAGTAACAGACCCCAAGATTGTACAGTGTAGAACTGTTAAATATAGATCTTTTTATTTATTTATTTTAAAATATATTTCTAAAGGGTTTAACTTTTAAAGTTTTAAACGTTATTTTAAAGTATTGCAAAGCCCAATTATTTTCCGATCTGATTAGTCAGTGTGCACGGCTTGACTTCTATCAGTCTTCTGCGCATATCCAGCACACAATGTACTTTGGAATACTCACGGTTTTGAGAATCGTAGGAAAGATAATCGGCAGTAAATCCGGTGTCCGTTACAGACTGGTCCGAACGGAATCGAACCGTCATTTTATTGCTGTTGCTTGAAACAACAAATGGCTTTTTCTCCCCGCAGTACCTGAGGAAGGACAGTGATGGTCAAAGCGTCAAACATTATTGCAATTCAAAATAAAACCAGAAAACACCCTTTGCCTGTAGAATACAATGTTCACCAGTCTTTAAATGTCCGAACCCAAAGCCTACAGCAGATCTATGTGAATTGAGAAAAATCTGAGCTGGTATTTAGTGATTATAAGCCATAACACAGGTGTGTGTGTGTGTAGTACAACTTGCTGCTTTATTTAATATTTGCATTTTGAGTAATTCTAGATTAAAAGCTTGAAAACAAAATTTTTATGTTACTTTATAGAGACATTCTGAGTGTAGATACAGGCAGACATTGGTTGTCAAACTGAACTCACTTCTGATGATTGATTTCCACAAAATCTTTAGTGCAGGAATTTTCTGATGCGCCAGTCTCCAACAAGTAGAACATGTTAAAGCGGATTTTCACATATTTATCGCCAGGAACCTATGGAAAAGACGAAAAGTTACACAGAGTGCAAGAGACTCATGGTGCATGCGATATGGCTGCACCATCAAAACGAAGAGGATGGAATAGAGGGAATGGGAGGAAAAGCATAAAGGGGTCACTAAATTCTGTGAATATATCTAGCCGGTTTGGACATTTGTATTCAAAATAGCGATAGCAGTAAATAGCGTTAATATGTACCGACACGGTACTTATTATATACATCCCTGGAAATAAAGCTACCTACCTGGATATCCCAGATACACTCTCTGTTCGCCTGGTAATGAGCTGGGTAGAAGGGGCTAGTAATTACTCCTTCAGAATTACGAATAATACCCCCACACACTGCAAAACAAACAAGTAAATATTTATAAAACAAACTGCGGTAGCTGGGAGGAAGGATTTGTTAAGTCTAGATAGATAGATAGATAGATAGATAGTGTCAAGGCCACAGTCCTGGGTGAAACACAGAGCATCCACAAGTACATCACAAATATAGCTCCCACAGATGAACTGCTAAGGGAATGCCTGAGACTTCAACAGACAGAGGATGCAGAAAAAGAAGAGGTTCCTTAGCAAGACAAACCTCTCCATGGGGTGTACCACCAGCAGATTGTGAATGTGGCTCACATGATAAAATCCTACAGTGGTTGGAAAAGGCAGGACTGAAAGACAGCACTGAGGCACTAATCCTAGCAACACAGGAGCAGGCACTCAGCACCAGATCAATAGAAGCTGGAGTCTACCACACCAGGCAAGACCCAAGGTGCAGACTGTGCAAAGAGGCCTCTGAGACAGTCCAGCACCTAATAGCAGGATGCAAGAGGTTAGCAGGGACAGCATGTGTACCAAAACACCTGCACAGAATATGGATTGGACCGGCCTTAGTCCAGATAGGATATACCACAAAGGATAGTTGATAATGACAGGGCTAAGATCCTGTGAGACCTCAAGACAGACAAGCAAGTGGTGATAGACAAGTGGGACATCTGAGATTGCTGTCCAGAATAGTGCAGTTCTAGGAACAGTTAATATACTGCCCAGAACCCCCAAACTCCCAAGTCTCTGGTAGAGGACCCGAGAATGAGGAATAACCATGCCATCCAGGGGGGTGGAGGGGGGGGGAAGAGAAAGAGAGAGCGAGAGAAAGAGAGAGCGAGAGAAAGAGAGAGCGAGAGAAAGAGAGAGCGAGAGAAAGAGAGAGCGAGAGAAAGAGAGAGCGAGAGAAAGAGAGAGCGAGAGAAAGAGAGAGCGAGAGAAAGAGAGAGCGAGAGAGAGAGAGAGCGAGAGAGAGAGAGAGAGAGAGAGAGAGAGAGAGAGAGAGAGAGAGAGAGAGAGCCGGTGAGAAAGAGAGAGCAGAGAAAGAGGTTTCAAGAGAGAAGAGAGCGAGAGAAAGAGAGCGAGAGAAAGAGAGCGAGAGAAAGAGAGCGAGAGAAAGAGAGCGAGAGAGAGAGAGCGAGAGAGAGAGAGCGAGAGAAAGAGAGCGAGAGAAAGAGAGAGCGAGAGAAAGAGAGAGCGAGAGAAAGAGAGAGCGAGAAAGAGAGCGCGAGAAAGAGAGCGCGAGAAAGAGAGCGAGAAAGAGAGCGAGAAAGAGAGCGAGAAAGAGAGCGAGAAAGAGAGCGAAAGATTTTTTTTTATAAATTAGATATATATCGGGCATAATATATATACACATACATATACACACACCACACGTGTAGATAGGTAGATAGAGAGAGAGAGTTTTGCATCTATCGATCAGTAAGATTCCCCTGTATCCGTGAAACAGAGAGGAGTAATTTAGGATCTCCCTGTATACGTGGCACAGAGGCCTATTTAAGTATCTTACGTGTAGTCTGTGGGATCTGCCTGAATTGAGCCATGAATCCCGGCTGTCTCCCCTTGCTGTCTGTAACAAGTGTCACCAACATTACGTTCTGAGATGAAAAGAAGGTGAGGTTGTAGGAAGGAGGATAACTGCCACACAATCTGGGAACGAGAAGTAGTAATATTGTAAATACTGTAAAAAATGGACAATAAAAAGCCAACGCAAAATGCGTTGGCTGTAGGGGTTCATTGACTAAAATGTACTAAACACTTGATGTTTTTAACTACAGATAATATTTATCGATAGGTTATGCAGACATAGGTCAGGAGAGGAGATGTATAAATACTTTGTGTTTTAATAAACTATCGAAATAAATTCAAAAGAAAAAAGAAAACAAGATTGCAAGATGGACACACGTTTCACTTACGTCATCATACGTCGATTCTCTGCAATGCTCAGAGAGTCGTATAATTTAACATAATCCCCTGTTAGATCTTTACAAATGTCCATTTTGAAGGTTTTGAAGTGCAGACGGATCACATGTCCAGCGTCTGCACGTAGCGTCCACTGACATCGCATGTTTGGTGGGTACGGAGTGTTGGGAAAGCCGGGAGTTGAAAATTTTGTCACTTCACCAGGTTTGGCATGCAGAAAGTAACTACAACTGTCTAGAAAAGAAATTTAAAAAAAATAAAAGATTTATCCAACACAGAACCAGTGTGACTAGGGATCTGCAGCGGGACATCGTGAGAACCCCCCCCCCCCAAAAAAATTATATGAAACTAGAGGCAGCAGACACTGGCTCCAATATGCCAGAAGCATGGGATGTAATCCTATGTCTATATAAAGTCTCACACCATTCACAGGAATATAAAATGATATTTATATATACAGTTCAATTCCAGAGTTTAAGCTTCCATACATCAGGATAGTAATGCAACACACGCACATGGTCTTTCATGTGTTGTTACTTACATTCACTAAATTATAAATTAAGCTACACCCCGAAACACTGGATACATCATATTTAGATCACTTACAGCTTATTTCTGTATATACAATAGTTTATGTGCGTGTGTATTGGAGGGACTGTCATTGTACAGGTTAGCTTTTTGGGTTCCTTTATTATATTCATTCTATATCAAAAGACCTAAATGTAATAAGTTAAATTTAGTAATAATCCCAGCTCCCACATGTGGTCACTAAGGGTGCAGAGCTATCACATCATATCTCGATTCTCACTCAACACAAGAGTAATGGAATACCGATATTGAGGAGCTGACTGACTCAGTTTAATGAAAACATGGCGGTAACATGGGTAGGCGAGTGTGAGGGAGCAGATCATCGGGTCTCAGAGATTTCAATATTCCAAACATTTATATTGGGATGTAGACTAATTAATGCACCAGGCACAATGAAGACATTTGGTTAAAATTTTCCAGGGGCGTTAGAGTTCACATTCATATAAGATGCAAAAAACACTTACTGTTTCTGAAACTTCTTGCCAAGTTAGCATCAAGAGCTGGAGAGAGAGAGAGAGAGAGAGAGAGAGAGAGAGAGAGAATGTATAAATATATTCATTCTGCATAGACTACATTCACATCAAGAACATTTCTGATTCAGTAGACAGTCCTCATTTTCTGGGACTGGTTTTGAATGCGTGTTTTAAAAAAAGTATTGTAATTTATTCGGTAAAGCACGTTTACTAAAAACGGATCTCAAGTTCAGGAGCGAATCACTTACGATATGCTTCGAAGGAGTCGACAGACAGAATTTGCCGCATCCGCAGATTGACAGACTGGATCTTTAAATTGAGCACAGCATTATCCAAAACTTCTGCTTTATAAGATGGCACAGAGAACTCCGACAAGTAATACGCAATCACACTGCCTTCACTGCAAAAACAGAGCAGAAAAGGTTTGAGGAAAGAAAATCTAGCACTGGTTCAACTTCCCAGAGTAGATTATACAGTATAGATATACGCACACACGTCATGGGGAGAGATTTACATCTAGGTTACATATGTCTAGATGGTCTGTCTTACCTGAACGCAGTTACGTAAGATTCAGTGAAATGAGGGCCGATATCTTTCTGTCCTCTGTACAATTCCCCGAGCTACAATGAGAAGACAAGTCATTAGCATTGCTTGTAGGAATACACATACTAAAAATGTTAGAAAAGGGCTAGCAAAAACTATTTCAAATAAGAGATAAATGTTACTGTACCACATGTATCCAAAGAAAAAAGTGACAATACTTTTCCATACATGTGAGGTAAATTCCAGAAAGACATGCCAACCTCCTCCCCCCCACCCCCAAAAAATAAATAAATATATAATAAAAAATAACACACATCAATGACAGCACTTAGCACTACAGGGAGTGCAGAATTATTAGGCAAGTTGTATTTTTGAGGATTAATTTTATTATTGAACAACAACCATGTTCTCAATGAACCCAAAAAACTCATTAATATCAAAGCTGAATATTTTTGGAAGTAGTTTTTAGTTTGTTTTTAGTTATAGCTATGTTAGGGGGATATCTGTGTGTGCAGGTGACTATTACTGTGCATAATTATTAGGCAACTTAACAAAAAACAAATATATACCCATTTCAATTATTTATTATTACCAATGAAACCAATATAACATCTCAACATTCACAAATATACATTTCTGACATTCAAAAACAAAACAAAAACAAATCAGTGACCAATATAGCCACCTTTCTTTGCAAGGACACTCAAAAGCCTGCCATCCATGGATTCTGTCAGTGTTTTGATCTGTTCACCATCAACATTGCGTGCAGCAGCAACCACAGCCTCCCAGACACTGTTCAGAGAGGTGTACTGTTTTCCCTCCTTGTAAATCTCACATTTGATGATGGACCACAGGTTCTCAATGGGGTTCAGATCAGGTGAACAAGGAGGCCATGTCATTAGATTTTCTTCTTTTATACCCTTTCTTGCCAGCCACGCTGTGGAGTACTTGGACGCGTGTGATGGAGCATTGTCCTGCATGAAAATCATGTTTTTCTTGAAGGATGCAGACTTCTTCCTGTACCACTGCTTGAAGAAGGTGTCTTCCAGGAACTGGCAGTAGGACTGGGAGTTGAGCTTGACTCCATCCTCAACCCGAAAAGGCCCCACAAGCTCATCTTTGATGATACCAGCCCAAACCAGTACTCCACCTCCACCTTGCTGGCGTCTGAGTCGGACTGGAGCTCTCTGCCCTTTACCAATCCAGCCACGGGCCCATCCATCTGGCCCATCAAGACTCACTCTCATTTCATCAGTCCATAAAACCTTAGAAAAATCAGTCTTGAGATATTTCTTGGCCCAGTCTTGACGTTCCAGCTTGTGTGTCTTGTTCAGTGGTGGTCGTCTTTCAGCCTTTCTTACCTTGGCCATGTCTATGAGTATTGCACACCTTGTGCTTTTGGGTACTCCAGTGATGTTGCAGCTCTGAAATATGGCCAAACTGGTGGCAAGTGGCATCGTGGCAGCTGCACGCTTGACTTTTCTCAGTTCATGGGCAGTTATTTTGCGCCTTGGTTTTTCCACACGCTTCTTGCGACCCTGTTGACTATTTTGAATGAAACGCTTGATTGTTCGATGATCACGCTTCAGAAGCTTTGCAATTTTAAGAGTGCTGCATCCCTCTGCAAGATATCTCACTATTTTTGACTTTTCTGAGCCTGTCAAGTCCTTCTTTTGACCCATTTTGCCAAAGGAAAGGAAGTTGCCTAATAATTATGCACACCTGATATAGGGTGTTGATGTCATTAGACCACACCCCTTCTCATTACAGAGATGCACATCACCTAATATGCTTAATTGGTAGTAGGCTTTCGAGCCTACACAGCTTGGAGTAAGACAACATGCATAAAGAGGATGATGTGGTCAAAATACTCATTTGCCTAATAATTCTGCACTCCCTGTAGTAGGAATTAACCATTCCAATATTGAAGGGAGTAGAATCATTCCCTTCAGGCTTCTTGTAGTAAACACTGTTTTCAAATAAAATGCAGTGTTTACATTACAGCCTAGTGATAACTCCTCAGATGGCTGCTAGAGGTGCTTCATGGGACAGTGCTGCACAGTGTGACTGACATTAAGCGTCTCTACCCTCTGCAATCACCCTTCATTCAATGTATCTCTATCAGGAGATGCTGATTGGCCAGGGCTGTGTTTGGTTTGTGCTGGATCTGCCTTCTTGACAGTCTCTGCCAATCCAGTGCTTTCCTATAGAAAAGCATTGTGATTGGCTGACAGAATCACTTTTGATGAAGTCAGCAAAGCAGGCAGATTAGGAGAGGAGCAGACTGGAATAAATTTAAGATTTCACTATATTTAAGGAGGAATAAAAAGGGGGGGGGAGATCAGGTGGGCTACATAGTGGTTTTAACACTCTAGGGTCATAAATACCCGTTTAATGGAACACAAAGGGATAAGAAATCTCCTCCTTACACTGGCTGTTGTGCACATCAAGTTTATTAAGACTAACAGACTCCTTTCTTTGTAGTAATTAGTGTGAAAAGCCTGAAATTAAAATGCCTGCACCCCAGAATCCATTTTGCTGGAACCATTACCTGCAATTATCAAAGATAGGGGAGATATATATTTAAAGGAATTAAAACCCATGGCATTGTTCCCCATTGAGAAAAACAGAGAAAACTGTTGCTCTTTTTACCATATCCTTGACTTTATTTGCCAGTTGCTTAAATTCAGGCGTGGAGGAATTTTCATAGGCATCCACAAATACGTAATTATTGATCCTTACAGAACCGGTGTACACTTTCGGCACTCGAGCCATGCGATCTAAGAGCAACAATTGGGAGAGGAATAGAAACTCATTAAATAGCAGCATACCATCTCCTTGTCCATTTACTCTACAGGAAGGAAGGGTCACTAACACAGTGCTCTCCTGTGCGGATTTTGTGGAGTACAAATATTTGGAGGTACACGTTTTAACTTAATAAGTTACCATATAAAACAAATCTCTAATGTGCATTTCAAGATTATAAAATCAGTTTATTCTGGTAAAACGGTCTCAGAGTTAGAGTTTCGAACAAATGAATTAAAGGACCACTCTAGGCACCCAGACCACATCAGCTTAATGAGGTGGTCTGGGTGCCAGGTCCAGCTAGGGTTAACCCATTTTTTAATAAACATAGCAGTTTCAGAGAAACTGCTATGTTTATGAATGGGTTAAGCCTTCCCCTATTTCCTCTAGCGGCTGTCTCATTGACAGCCACTAGAAGCGCTTGCGTGCTTCTCACTGTGATTTTCACAGTGAAAGCACGCCAGCGTCCATAGGAAAGCATTATGAATGCTTTCCTATGTGACTGGCTGAATGCGCGCGCAGCTCTTGACGCGCGTGCGCATTCAGCCGACGGGGAGGAGAAGAGGAGGATCGGAGGAGGAGAGCTCCCCGCCCGGCGCTGGAAAAAGGTAAGTTTAAACCCCTTTCCCCCTTCCAGAGCCGGGCGGGAGGGTGGGGGCACCTTCAGGGCACTATAGTGCCAGGAAAACGAGTATGTTTTCCTGGCACTATAGTGGTCCTTTAATTCCACTTTAAGGTCTCTTCAATATTACTCACTATTACTATATTAATACCCAGTTGCGTAAAGGGACTAACCCCATTAAAACCAACCAATATATTGTGATATTATGGGTTCTGAGAGATCACATAAAAACCTTAAAAAATTTTCTTTAACAAACTGCTTGCATTAAATGAGAAGCATTGAGAGTATTTACTCAGCTTTAAAATGGGCCTTCTGGGTATTTATGAGGAAACTGGAGATGGCAATAAAAGTGCAAAGTCCAATAATTGCCCAATACCAGGCTGCATTGTGCAGAATTGGTGGGAGGGGGCCTACTGTTCTGCTTTAGTTAACGGATAAAGGTCTCAATTTATTAATTTTAAAAAAAACTTACATTTCACCACATAAAAATATTCACATATCAAAAAATATATAGTAAAAAAATTATATACACACACATATATACATACATATATATATATATATATACAAGAAAGTAGAAAATAGCACTCTAAGGACTTCAAAAAGGTATTGTGAAAAAATAACTTAGCTTTTATTCAGCAACTGCCACAATATTTCAACGTTTCAGTTCTATAGCAGAACTTTCGTCAGGATAAGGTGCATTGTAAAAACAACAAATAAATAGCAAAAGGATACATATTACATTAGTACCATACATTGTATACAGGTGGTGCTTACCCCTTTCCCAGTGTGGTTCCCCTAGAAACCGCCGAAAAAAACGCGGTTAGAAATGACCTTTGAAAGTATATTCTGCAGCTGGATCGGGTGCCGAGATTATCGGCTGGAACGTGGTTAGATTTGTTTGAAAGTTGCTATAGCAACCAGCCGCGAGTGTTCAGCCGGGCGGGGGAGTCCGAGAGACTCATAGTAAAAAAATAATCTATGTGCGATCGCAAAGAGGCTCTGATGCTCTCGTTGCAGACCATGGGGGGGAAAGGATGGGAGGCAGTTGTCCAGGGGCAGGACCGGTAAAAAAATGTGCCGATCTCTATTAGGGGGCTAAGCACGGAGAGACTCTATATTGAGAAGGGTGGGAGAAACCCATGGGGTATAACATGGGAAACTACATAGGTAGGAGGGGTCAGAAGCAGAATAAGTCCTGCTGTAATATTAGGGAAAAGGTAGAAAAAAAGCTAGCTCCAAAGTTGGTGCTGCATGATGAACATAGAGAAATATTTTAAGGATAGGGTCAAAAAATGCACAAGATGGATGTAAATGCTGAGTAATGAATATACACATAAGATCACTGCCCAGGTAACATAAAGCATAGGGAATCTAGACTGATTCTGCATGGTGTATTTAAATAGTAAATAGAGCCTAAGTGAGATGGGCAATATCTGATGGTGCTATGCATGTCTAAAAAAACTGTTATGTGGTGCCCAATAGAAATCCACTAGTTATATGAAGAGACATCATAGGTATGTGTATGTGTATGGGTATAGACTGATATGTCTGCAATGCAATGGAATAAACTTGACTACTCATGTATTGTGTCCATAATTGCAAGGGGGGTGTCCACATCATATGTGAAGCAACCATACCAATTCCAATAATTACATATATACATACATATTTATACAATGATGCTCAATAAAGAAAACAATGATTAATATAAAGTCTTAAGTATAGGGCCCTGTAGACAGTAAGGGAAAAAAAAGGGGAAAACAGGGGAAATAAACCCCCACTTGCCAGGGGACTTGATATGCATATAGACATGAAAAAGATAATAGCCAATATGAGTCCTATCATATAAGGTCTATAAAGTGCTGATCAAATAAAGATGCCCAGTGTATACTTTTCATTGAGTCCTTTAGGTTGTACTGTATCAAGTGTTCTGATCCAGTGTAACTCCCTCTGTAGTAAGAGCCTTTTTCGATCACCACCACGTATCGGTTGTGGGATATGGTCGATTGCCTGGAATTTCATAGTTGGAAGAGGATGGTTAAACTCCAAGAAATGTTTTGCCACCGGCTGTTCTGAGCTTTTATCTCTGTAGGCTACCCGTATACTGGAACGGTGATTACGTATTCTCTCCCGTAGTGGTAGATCGGTTTTCCCTACATACATTAAACCACAGGGGTACCCCAATTTGTATACCACAAAATCGCTTGTGCAGGTAAGTCTATGTCTTATGAGGTATTTTTTGCCTGTGTGAGGATGAGTAAAAGTTTTGCTAGGGATCATGTGGCTGCATGTTACGCAGCCTAAGCATCTGTAGCATCCCAGGTTCTGATGTGTATTTGATTGACTGTAGCAGTGTGTAGGATCGGTTTTAACCAGTAAGTCCCTCAGGTTACTTCCCCTCCGGTAGCACATCATTGGGCGCTGCTTAAATTGTACTGGTAGACTTGTGTCATTCTGTAACATTCTCCAGTTATGGTCCACCGACCGTTTGATATCATCTGATATGGTTGTATACGTAATAGGGAAAACCAGTCTGTCATTTTTAGCTGTGCTGTGTACCGGTACTTCAAAGCATCTGTCTAGTGCCTTTGTTAAGTCTCTTGAGTGGTAACCTCGTGACAGGAACTTGTCCCACTTAATTTGTAGTTGGAGCTGGGTGTTGACTATATTGGAGTTGTTACGTATCACTCTCATGAATTGTGACTGTGGGAGTGAGCGAATAAGATGTTTAGGATGGTGACTTTTAGCGTGAAGGAGAGTGTTCCTGTCTGTTGGTTTACTGAATAGCGTATATGCTATTTTATCGTCTTCCCGATATAAACAAACATCTAGGAAGTCAATCTGTTTGTCACTTGTAGTCATTGTCAGACGAACTGGTGTGTCCAGGCTGTTAATAGTGTTGAGCATTTCATCTGGGGTGGGTCCTACATTCTTCCAGATGATAAAAATGTCATCGATGAAGCGACGATAAAATAGTATACTGTCATGGAACGGTATGAGTATCTGTTCTTGCTCAAATATATACATGTAGCTATTGGCATACATCGGGGCCATAGCGGCTCCCATTGAAGTCCCCGCAATTTGTTTGTACCAGGTCTGTTCGAATCTAAAATAGTTTTGACTGAGTACCAGATGAAGAAGTTCCATTATGTACTAGATTGGTGGTCCTGTATATGATGTTGATGATGCCAATATCCTCCGCATGGCATTGATGCCCATATCATGTGGAATGATCGTGTATAGGCTTTTTACATCACATGTTATGAAAGTGATGTCAGGTTCCAATCCAGTGAACTGTTGCAGTGATTTGAGAAGACTTGGAGTATCTTTGATGCATGTGGGTAGTTCCTCAACAGGTTGCTTGAATAGGTGGTCCAGCCATTTGGCTATTGGTTCTAATGCCCCACCTATTGCTGAAACAATGGGTCTTCCTGGTGGTGATATGGGATCTTTATGTATTTTTGGCAGTGTGTAGATGACTGGCGTTCTTGGGTTTTTCTGTAGTAAAAAGTCATAAAGTTCTTGGGTGATAAAGGTGGCTTCCAAACCTCGTTGTAGAATGCATTGAATATTTGACATAATTAATGTAGTAGGATCAGCGGCAAGTTTAGAATATGTGTTTGAATCCCCAAGTTGTGTGAGGATTTCCCGTCTGTAGTCTGAGTAATTTAACAGTACTATCCCACCGCCTTTATCTGCTGGCCGAATGATGAGGCTGGGGTCCCTAGCTAGTGAAGTAATGCATTTTCGTTCTTCTTTTGTGATGTTGGTTTTCCGTGTGGTTGATTGATTAAGGTGTAATTGAGTTTCAAAGTTAAGAGATTTCAGGAACGTTTTGATAGTAGGTTGGTTGGGTAGAGGATCCCAGGTACTCTTGGCTTTAAACCTATTCTTCGGTAGGTTGGGTGTGCTCTGTTGTTTAAAGAATTCCTTAAGTCTTAACGTTCTCCCAAATTTATATATTTCTACTTCCTGGGTAAGTGGGTTGGGTTGAGTAGTGGGTACAAAGGAAAGACCTTTCATCAGGAGATTACTCTCTAGGGTCGTGAGGATAGATTGATGCTATCTCCGGCGTGGTGGTCTGCCTCTTGGCCCAGTGTATCCTACCCTTCTGTCCTCTTCTTGTAATGTGTCGTTTTCCTCGAACTCTTGTCTGGCACGTTGTCTCGTAGTCGTACCTGTTGATATACTTCCCTTATCTAAAAAAAAGGGGTGTTTGTTGTGTACTTTTTATCGGTTGAGGGTCTGAATCTGAGGTGGACTCCCCTGAGGTTCTGTCTATCGTGTATTGCCTTGGTCTCCTAATGGTTCTTCTATTTCGTGCGAAACGTGGGACCTCGTTCTGGCCACTTAACCACCGGTAGACTCTGTGTTCCGTATAGTCACTTTTGACTTTTTCTTGTTTTTCACGTTTGAATCGAATTAAGTCTGTTTTATAGTCTTTCACATTTTGTTCAAGTCTCAAGATGGTAGGGGCTGCTTCTGGCGAGGTCGGTAATAATGCTTCCCTTGCTTCAAGTTGAGTGATGCGTTGTCTTATCTTACTATGAAATTCCAGGCAATCGACCATATCCCACAACCGATACGTGGTGGTGACCGAAAAAGGCTCTTACTACAGAGGGAGTTACACTGGATCAGAACACTTGATACAGTACAACCTAAAGGACTCAATGAAAAGTATACACTGGGCATCTTTATTTGATCAGCACTTTATAGACCTTATATGATAGGACTCATATTGGCTATTATCTTTTTCATGTCTATATGCATATCAAGTCCCCTGGCAAGTGGGGGTTTATTTCCCCCTTTTTTTCCCTTTTTTTCCCTTACTGTCTACAGGGCCCTATACTTAAGACTTTATATTAATCATTGTTTTCTTTATTGAGCATCATTGTATAAATATGTATGTATATATGTAATTATTGGAATTGGTATGGTTGCTTCACATATGATGTGGACACCCCCCTTGCAATTATGGACACAATACATGAGTAGTCAAGTTTATTCCATTGCATTGCAGACATATCAGTCTATACCCATACACATACACATACCTATGATGTCTCTTCATATAACTAGTGGATTTCTATTGGGCACCACATAACAGTTTTTTTAGACATGCATAGCACCATCAGATATTGCCCATCTCACTTAGGCTCTATTTACTATTTAAATACACCATGCAGAATCAGTCTAGATTCCCTATGCTTTATGTTACCTGGGCAGTGATCTTATGTGTATATTCATTACTCAGCATTTACATCCATCTTGTGCATTTTTTGACCCTATCCTTAAAATATTTCTCTATGTTCATCATGCAGCACCAACTTTGGAGCTAGCTTTTTTTCTACCTTTTCCCTAATATTACAGCAGGACTTATTCTGCTTCTGACCCCTCCTACCTATGTAGTTTCCCATGTTATACCCCATGGGTTTCTCCCACCCTTCTCAATATAGAGTCTCTCCGTGCTTAGCCCCCTAATAGAGATCGGCACATTTTTTTACCGGTCCTGCCCTTGGACAACTGCCTCCCATCCTTTCCCCCCCATGGTCTGCAACGAGAGCATCAGAGCCTCTTTGCGATCGCACATAGATTATTTTTTTACTATGAGTCTCTCGGACTCCCCCGCCCGGCTGAACACTCGCGGCTGGTTGCTATAGCAACTTTCAAACAAATCTAACCACGTTCCAGCCGATAATCTCGGCACCCGATCCAGCTGCAGAATATACTTTCAAAGGTCATTTCTACCCGCGTTTTTTTCGGCGGTTTCTAGGGGAACCACACTGGGAAAGGGGTAAGCACCACCTGTATACAATGTATGGTACTAATGTAATATGTATCCTTTTGCTATTTATTTGTTGTTTTTACAATGCACCTTATCCTGACGAAAGTTCTGCTATAGAACTGAAACGTTGAAATATTGTGGCAGTTGCTGAATAAAAGCTAAGTTATTTTTTCACAATACCTTTTTGAAGTCCTTAGAGTGCTATTTTCTACTTTCCTGTATATATTACTTTGCTTGATCAGCACCGGGCTTTATGAGAATACAACTGGAGTGCAAGTATTTGGATATTTTATATATATATACACATATATATATATATATATATATATATACACATACATATATATACATACACATACACACATATATATATATATATACACACACACAGCGAAAATTATTAAATTGAGGCCAAACACTGAAAAGGTTTGTTTTAAAACTAAAGGATATTTAGTTTCTCTCTCATCGTTCAGTTTGTTTTTCCATTATCTTGCAGATTTAAGGGGTGTTAAAACACATTTTGTTTTCCTTCTTTTTTGTGTGATGGAAATACTTCATAAAAAAAAAAAAACAGATTCTGTATAAATATTTATACATGGAAATTACACCAAAGTACTTTGCACATCTAAAAAAGTACCACAAATAAAAGCAGTTTGCTTTCAGTTGTTAATATAATTAAATAAATAACTTCTAAAATTGATTGAATCTCTCTGATCTTGTAATTTAAAAATCTAAATGGCTTGTGGTTCCCTTTAGTAAGGGGCGTTACACACAGCTGTACGTAGCATTAAAGAGAGTCCACTGATTGGCGCAGGACGTACTCACATGCAAAGTGCCAAACGAGGAGACCTACAGCTAGCGAGATCACGGCGGCACCAATCACCACTCCGATGACAACGAATTTCCATCTTGGATCCCTCTTCTCCACCTTCTTGGTGTCGGTAGCTGGAAGAAACTCGACCGCTTCCTCGTACCCATTCATACTCTGAAAGGACAAACAGAACCGTGAGCCACTGCACCCAATACAGAGATACACAGCGAGCACTGCTCCAAGATTAGATCTCATTACTTCTCATTCATTATCTCAGAAAAAACACAGAGCAGAATAGAAAGTACAAGCGTTAAAAAAAAAAATTCAACATTTCCAAAACCATTATGTGAATCTGTACAAGCGATTGCCAAGTAGAAATGAAAGCAACCAGATAGACTTTGCTGAGCTGCGGAGATGAGGTCCGTTACTCTGTATCAAAGGACAAGGTGCGCAGAGTTCCAGGTTTGTCCTCCATCGCTGTATGTTGTGTTATTATAGCTAATGACTAAACCGAGTGAAGAGGTTCTAACATCAAATGGAAGCGATAAAATCCAGCCCAAAAACTGCTGACCCAGCAAGATCAGGCTGAAAACGGTTTGTGCCCATGTGTTGCTTGGCCATAGACTTTGTCTGGACTGCCCCTTCCATTCATAATAAAATAAACACTTCCTCATTCCCTCCCCCTTCATCCCATCATTGGGTCTGTCCAAGCCAAAAAAAAAGGTTCTGCGAGGAAGACACTATAATCCAATTTATAATAAAATAATTATTTTAATAGTGTTATATATTCATTTAGTACCTGAAATCAATATCGGGTTTACTTACTAAACTGTGAATTGCAGTCTATTGAAAACTGAGTTTTACAATTTCAGCTGAAATAGCAGCACAAGAATACCAACCCAGCTGGTTTCCCCAAACTTGTCTATTTTGTCCTAAATTTTTCATCTAGGTTTTGAATTTTATTCACAGCACTTTGTTTTAGAAAATAATTAACAAATAAAGGTTCAGAAATGGGGCATTTAACATGTTAGGATGTTTGGAGACTTATCTTTTAATTTTGGAAAGTTAGTGCTATACATACAGTCAGGAGTTCAGATCTATTTCCGCTTCCTAAAAGTTTTTTTTACACATTGTTGCAAAACTTTTAAATAAATATTTTGTGAGAACACGTAATGAACACGAAAGGTAAACTCCAGAATGACAGCATCGTGCTGATTCAGAAGGTGAGAGATGGAATAAACGTGGCGGGAGGGGGCCCGGTATCAGCGAGAGGTGACATGTAAGAAAGGTTTCAACCAAAACAGAGACTCACTTTTCATCTCCTCGAGTGAGCCATTCCACACCCTCCCACCTGTCACAATATGAATCATAACTAAAGAGAACGGAACAATATGCAGTAATAAACGTAATACACAGTAATTCGGCAATAACAATGTTTTAGAAAGTGTCTAGCATCCTCTATACACTATAGGCACCAAAACAACTTTAGCTTAATGAATCAGTTATTTTATTTATATAGCGCCAGCAAATTCCATAGCGCTGTACAATGGGATAGTGAATAGATCATGTCCCTGAAGCTTCACTACTCAATTCCCTGCCATTTAGGGGTTAAATCACTTTGGTTTCTGTTTATGCAGTCCTAGTCATACCTCCCCATCGGGAGTTCACTTTAGAAGTTTTTTTTAATCTCCTGTGAGGTGTGACAAAGAACTGAGCAGTGAGACCAAAGGGGTTTAATTTAGCTAAAGTGTTTTTATGACTAAAGTGTCCCTTTAATACTTAAAAGCCCAAGAAATTGGGGGAATTATTTTACAAATAGTTTTTTGGTTTTTTTTCCCATCAAACCGATTTTCTGGAATAATTCACTAAATAATTCTCTGCATTATAAATATATGGGTTACATAAATTAAAAAGAGAGTTCATCCATTAAATGGTTAACTGCAGGGAGTCAGAAATTGATTTATTTACTAAACTGGAGATAATGGAGAAATATAAATTACATTTTTTGTTTAAAATTTACTACAATTCCTTTGTCAATTCTTCGTCATTCCCAATTTGCTGAATATTATTTGCATAAATTGCTCACTTCAAAACAAAAGGTGTTGGAAAAGTTGTTTTCAGCGGTTTTACCAACTCAGCTGACCCAAACTTTTCCAAGTCTGTTTTAATTCATGACAATTAGTGGTTTACTGAATAAACCCTCAATGAGTTAAATATTACAGAAATCTTTGCAGCTTATCAGACATCCCGTACAAAATGGGATACAGCTGCGCCCAAGAAAGGAATAAATATAATGGTGTAGTAAAAGTTAAAAATGTACAGGACTGTGCGGATTAAATTGCACTCACAGAATATAATGGTATTGAAGGTGCCCTGGTATAAAATATTCATCCAAACTCCTCAACACAACTTGTTACGAAGACTGCTCAGGTCGAAACAAGGTATTCAAGCAAAAATATGCAGTGTAATGGCATTAAATTAAAAATAAACTAAAACCAAAAGGTCCTATGTGTTTCCTCCCTTGTGGATGCTGGGCGGGAGAGGCAGCCGCTCTCCCAGCTTGTCGAATACTGGACTACCGCTGAATCCTACTACAGCCTCGTCTCTCTCCCCTCTGGACCGGTGAGGGTGATCCCGGTCCAAACCCCAAAGGCTCCACTACAACGCTGTGCCCAAGTGACACTTACAAGCAGCACCAACCCTACCGCTACAATAGCGGTTGCCCCATGCGCGCCTGACCCATGTAGTGGGAGATGGGATGTTGATAAGGTGACCGCTCGCATGTGGACGCTGTGGTATATTAATAAACTCTATAAATGATGTACGCATACACATAAATCTGGTCTGTCTACTTTAACAAATATTTAATTAGAGACAAAACAACAACATACAAATAATGACACACAATCTAACTAACAATAACAACTAAATCTTATAAAGTCACCAGATCCCACTCACAGATCACCATTATAAAAATAAGCCTGTGTCTGCTCACATTTCTGCTCAGTAGCACAGCCAATAAGGAACAGGGAGGAATGGAAATAGAGGGAAGTGGTTCTCTCTTTCCTGACTTGTAAAGGTATTGAATTACCTAATCACCATACCAAAGAGTAAAGCTTATCCCCCTGTAAGAAACGCATACTTTAGCTTGGTCTCATGACCCCTGGTCACCATTCCACAGATGCGGCTCCTGATCTCAAGCTAAACCTCGTGTCTCACAGTCCTGCACATCCAGACGGGCCGGGAGGAGAGGAGCCCTTTTCTGATCAGACCGGTCCTGTACGCCAGCGCCCAGAGAGACACATCTTGGCGTATACCAAGAACAACCCCTCTGAATCCCTGATGCTGCGCCTACATGCTACCTGGATGGACGGAACGGCTCATGTCTCCAAGCCATGCGGTTTCTCAGGCTTACCCGTGAGCCATCATGCCTGCTTGGGCAGTTTATGGTGCGGGATTCTACTTGGCCCTTACAAGGCATAGGCTGAGCTGACTTCCTTTCCCTCCGCTGCCTCATTACTAGCGATTGGGCACATGCTTTGTTTTAATGCTTTATTTACTTTTTGCATTCTTATAGAATATAGTATATATTGCAGTTTACTCATATGTGACCTATTTACATATTTGAGTTCACATGGGGTTTTTCGGGGGGTAACTTCTCTGCCACGTCACATAAGCGTCTTGTATTCCTGTAATTTAAAAAATAAAAAAGTGCTGTATCTCAGACATGTCTTGTAAACTCTTGCTTCTCTCTTAAAGGACCACTCTAGGCACCCAGACCACTTCAGCTTAATGAAGTGGTCTGGGTGCCAGTTCCAGCTAGGGTTAACCCTTTTTTCTATAAACATAGCAGTTTCAGAGAAACTGCTATGTTTACGATAGGGTTAATCCAGCCTCTAGTGGCGCTTCCGCGCTTCTCACTGTGATTTTCACAGTGAGAAGACGCCAGCGTCCATAGGAAAGCATTATGAAAGCTTTCCTATGGACTGGCTGAAGGCACGCGCGGCTCCTGCCGCGCATGCACATTCAGCCGAGGAGGAGAGTCCCCGGCCCGGCGCTGGAGAAAGAGGCAAGTTTAACCCCTTCCTCACCCTAGAGCCCGGCGGGAGGGGGACCCTGAGGCACTATAGTGGTCCTTTAAGCCGATCACTGCATTGTCTCTGTCTTTATTTTTGTAGTGCATTGCAAGATACAAGTAAAGAATAATAATAATAAAAAAAAAAAAATTAACATAACATATATATATATATACACACACACACACACACACACACACACACACACACAGACACAGACACAGACTGCAATATCCCTTCCCGCAGAGTCCCTTCTTTTAAAATCGCTGTATCTTCTACCTCATTGGTCGGTCCCCCTGTGGCTGTATGAACCTCCTCAATTCAATTTCAACATTCTGCTTATAAAAAGTACAGTCAAGGCAGGTTCTATAGTTTGTGATTTGAACTTTGATGTAAAGCGAGATCCCTTTACTTGAACAGAGAGATATATATATATTTTATTTTTTATTTTAAATAATTTAAAAAATGTAGCTGGTGCCTGTAGTCTGCTAAAAATACACTATGGCATATTTTCTTATTCTTATTGTATTACTTCTGGAAACATGATCCGATGCGGTGTAGAATCTGTGCACCAGATTCCGTACTAGAAGACAAAATTAACTTTTATGGGCAATTATCAATTTAAAAAGCCGAGTCATTTCTGACTTTTAAAAAAAATTGTTATAAAAAAAAATTAAAATTAAAAAAACAAACAAACAAAAAAAAAAAAAAAACACACCCTCTTGCTTTGTTTGGTTTATAAAATTAAAAAGAAGTAACATTAACCCCGGAATAATATATGTCTTTATATACACACCCAAGTAATTCACCATTACAGGAAGTCACGGTCTTACTAACCTTAGAGGCTCATAAAGCATATGGTCATTGGCCACACAGTAGGAATTACAAAGTAATGAAAATGTTACTAATAAAAGCCCCGACATACTTTGCAGAGCTGTACAAAGGGTTAAGACAAGGGTAACAAATGATGAAGGATGCGGATTAGGCTTTCCTTTCTGGAATCCATTTTGTATGAAGTCCTACGGTTAGACCTGACCGCTACCATATAGGCAGACTCTACACACAATAACACATGCCATAAAACATCCCTGGTGTTCTAACCAGCTCAGCATTCCATTAGGAATTTTGAAATGATTGTATAGCTGTTGTATGTGTGACTTATATAAGGTACTTTTACCCTTCCCCTGTCCTGGGTTACGAAACAAAGGAAAGTTTCAAACGAGAGTTGGCACAGTCCGATGACACCTTCCTGTCCAATCAGAAATTTATTATTTTATAGATATCAAAGTTCAACTCATGTGACAAACTAATAAACACTTTTTCTGCATACCCAAGAACATATCTCATAAAAACATTTGTTAAAGTATTTGGCGGAGAAAAAAAAAAAATTAAATGGTGTGAAAACAAAACAAAACGCATCTTACAAAAAGAATCCAGCATTTCCTTTGGATCCCAGGAGCCCTTAACATAAAATGGAAGGGATGAGTTGGTTTCTCCCCTCAATGCTGACTCTGTACATATAAGTCAAGCAGAAATCACACAGGGACACTTTATAAAAGACGAAAGAATATGTCAGTTTTAGTGGGTAACAAAGGCGCTGATACAATGAGTCCAACCGCAGTCTCAGCGCATCACGAGTCATGGACAGAAAACTTTTAACTCTCGCCCTTTTTCTCCATATTCTAACGCCAGCCAATCTTTCCAAATAAATATTTTGCTTTGGAGAAACATTTGTCTTAAATTACATTAAAACGTGCCAACATAACCCAGCAAAGAAGTTACATTTTTCTTTTTTTTCTTTTTGGCAACCACGTACAGAGCAGCTTAAACAAATGATTAAACACGCTGCTGTGCGTCATGCAAACACGATCATTATAAGAGAGGTACAAACAATCTTCATTCCACAGCAACGATACTGTTGATTAATAAAGTGTTAGAGTACCAGAGTGGAGTATAATCAGAGAGACTGGAGCAGATTACAGGGGCTATAAATAAATCACAGTACTTTTGGAGGCCATTGAATGGGAGCCCCTTCAAGATATCCCTTGTCTGTCTCCCACCAAATCATTATATGAAAGTATGATCCTTTCTTGGATTGACCAGAGGGTAGAAGCTAAATAAAAACCTCACAGTAACAGGTTACTGATAAACAAATTAAAAAACAAACTCATTACATTGCATATTTTTATAATATATAACAAAAATTCTACTGATAATCAGTTACCGATTGTTGTTTCCCTATTGAACAAGTAGAACGAGACAAGATAATAAAAAAAATAGATAAAATGGATATAATGTCAAAATGTAATATTAAAAAAATAAATAAAAAAAAAATACTATTTTTGTATGCTTCATATGTTCTGAATCTTCCATGAGAGATACAGTCTGTAACGTGCATCCCCCTCAAATATTTCCAAGCTTTGGCTGCAGAAACATGGTGGCAGAAGTGTGATTTAATTTTCTTTGGCCAATATAATGACTTGTCACTGGACAAGAAGTTGCTGAACCTCCTTAGATAAATAACCTACATTATCAAAAATAAATTGACAAATTCTAATCCAAACAATTAAACAAACGAGTTGCTAAATGTTAGCATGTGAGCTGGTACAAAGGGCTTCCTATGGCTTCTTCATCAGTTAATCTGTGAAAACAAGCTTTGTGATTGTAGAATGTACTCAAAGTATCCAGAGCTGGAGAATGTTCTGCTGCTATACAGAAATAGATAAATAAAATAGTCAGCAATCTTACTAAACCGCATTATGAAAAATATATACTACAATACCAGGAGTAGGCAACCTTCAGCACTCCATGTGTTGTGGACTACATCTCCCATAATGCTGGCAAAATATCAGGGTAGATGTAGTCCACAATATCGTGCCAAAGATTGCCTACCGTAATCCAGACCTTAATTTGCTCTCTTTAGGTAGACTGGACACAAGATGCATCTGTGGGTGGAAGGATGAGGAGTAATACGAGGAAATACTGCTTTACCAGAAAGGTAGTAGATACCCAGAATAGCCTTCCCGTGAAGCAGTAAATGCCAAAATTGATATAGAAAGTGTAGTAGATGCATGGAATAGCCTTCCAGTGGAAGCAGTAAAGGCTAACGTTATAGAAAGAGTTACAATCATGCCGTACCATTGACACAGCCACAGGCCTAGTTTCGCTTCCTGATTGGGCAGAAAGCAAGGTGGCTAAAAACAGGTATTTTCATTTTAGTAAACTCTCTCGGCGAGTGACAGTGGGAAGGGTTTCAGTGAGTTAAAGGTAGAAGTCACGTCAGAACCTGGTAAAACCTGTTCTACAGCTTAATCGCCGGAGCAGGACGAGACTCATCCTCTAAACTCCACCAGGAATGTAACAGGAGGATGGGTAACAACTCAAAAACAAAAAACTGTGAAAGACACCACAATGTAACCCCACGTCACATAATGAAATAGAGAGAGGCTGGACATGATCCCCATGTTGTACTTCATTACGTCTAGTAATTCAAATTTAATACACATGTTGGGGGTTAATCCTTTTGTTACAAATCCCCAGAATTTTCCACTTCCTGAAGCATTCTCTGGCAGGCAGCAAAGCAGCCGACGCGGGTTAGCCAATCAGATATTCAGAATATTGTTTTCAATGGGTTTATCCCCAAACTCTGTGCACATGTCACTGAGGGCAGGGGGTGCAGTAACACATGGCAAACACGGATTCCTTAAATTCTCCACTCTAAGTTGTATAAATAGTAAAACATCAGTTTCTGCTCCCATAGGCCTACACCAAGACATCAACAAACGGCATCTCCTTCGCCCAATGTAACACTCAGCCATTAGAGAAACAGATTACTCCTAACATTAGAATATAAGGCTTTTGATAGAATTTCCATTGACGCTCTCCAATTCTTTTACTTTGAGTCCAAGCAATTAAACCACCTGGGCATTTTAGTGGCTGCTTATTTTGTGCATACTTAATAATTCTATCTTGCAAGATGTATCACCGGATTACAGATACAAAACAGAAAGAAATAAAACAAAACACACCACGATTAAAATCCACACATTTATGGTAAATGTTATGCCAGGCTCCAGTTACATAGCAAGACATGGGAGTATTTACTTAGAAGCACCCACTTTAGTTGAGATTAAGAGAATTGCAGGAAGTAAACTTTTCCATTTCATTTTACTCAAGCAGATTGCATGATATGTTAACCCTTCAAATGTAAAAAAAAATCAATTTAAAAAATAAACAGCATAACATTTAATTCTTCAACATTATCTGCATTTTGAAACATAACGCTATGTAAAACAATGGGAAAAATGGCAAAGTATCTATTATAAATCGCCCTACAGTCCGACAAAGGCTCACACAAAAAACATTGTTAAATAGAGCTGCATCGTTTGTTACCGCAGTATTCAATTTCTTGTACTCATTCTACTCGCCCGTACCTGCATTTAAACATTTTATTTATTTATTTTGGTGTGGTGTTGGTGATAAAGGAATACTCTAAGCACTAACACTTTAGCTTAATAAAGCATTTAGGAGTTGAATCAGTTTGTTTATGCAGCCCTTGTCACACATCCCTGCATGCCAACCAACAGAGTAGGAGATAACTTCTAAAGTAAACACAATGTGTTGTAAGACTAAAGAGTGTTTTGTTTTTTTGTGGCAGCTGTACAGATGTCCTATATATTTTGTCTACTCAGAACCGGACCTGATGCGCTGGTTATAAAAAGTGGTAACTTAAAGGACCACTATAGGCACCCAGACCACTTCAGCTCAATGAAGTGGTCTGGGTGCCAGGTCCATCTAGAATTAACCCTTTCTGCTGTAAACATAGCAGTTTCAGAGAAACTGCTATGTTTACTTTAGGGCTAACCCAGCCTCTAGTTGCAGTCTCATTGACAGCCGCTAGAGGTGCTTCTGCGCTTCTCACTGTGATTTTCACAGTGATAAAATGCCAGCGTCCATAGGAAAGCATTGAGATGCTTTCCTATGGACTGGCTGAATGTGCGCGGCTCTTGCCCCGCATGCACATTCAGCCGATGACGTCCGGAGGAGAGTCCCCAGCGCTGAGGGAGCACGGCGCTGGAGAAAGGTAAGTGTTTAACCCCTTCCTCCAACTTCATGGGGGCCAAGAGGGTGGGGGCAACCTCAGGGCACTATAGTGGTCCTTTAAGGTAACGGATTAAATGAATAGTCTGTATATCAATAGGAAAACATTGGAATGCTCATTAATGTGTCAAATGAAGTCTCAAAGAGTTTGGACTGATAAATAATTAGCGCTGATTTTAAGCAGAAAAATAAAATCTATGCATAGATTCATTTTGTGAGGCGCTAACCTTGCGATGTTCTGTATTGATGTATTGTTCGTGTGAAATGAAGGGTGATCATAGATAAGTTGCTTTCAGTGGTGTTAACGTGGATTTAAATGGGCACGCAACTGCCCAAATACAAAATAAATAAAAATCACCGTTTAGTAGATATTCCCCAAAGGAAAACTTGCATGCATTTAATTAAAATTTTTTTTTTTAATTGGAGTTATATCTAAAAGCAGCTTGCAAAATTTGCAGATCTCGTCTGCAGTCTTCCCTTTTAACCTTGCCCAGACTTTCTGTGGCTGTCCAATCACAGACTTCTCATCTCAATTATAGTCTTTGCAAGGCAGGTGCTCTGGGCAATTGCTGCCTCTTGAGTTTAGCTCCACTGAGCTAAACAAACCAGGAAGTAACAGGACCGGTTGACTAAAGGGTTGTAACCAGGTTAATTTAAAAAAATTTCTAAAGATTTCTATTGAAATCTGCACGTTTTTTCAAGATGGGGAAAAAAAAAAATAGGACACGCTCTTAACACACGCTTTTCAGTAAGATAAAAGTGCCCCTTTAAGTAGCGCTGCATTCAATAGGCCATATTACAATGCAATGTTATGGTGTATAAACTTGTCATATTTGAAGTCTTTAATATTTTTATTTAATTTTTTACTACGTTGCCCAGAAAATGTAAACATGTTATTGTCATGTATGTTTTATACTGTAACTCCTTTGTGTGTAGACCCTTTAAAAGGCTACCATATTCTTACCATTTAAAATGAAAAAATGTAGGACATTCATGTGACAAATGGTAAGCACAGATAGTAAAAGTTAAAACCAGCTATTTTTGTGTGTAGACTGCTATCAAGGGTTACCCAAAACAGTCCGATTTTGTAAATTCATATCACTAAGTGTATAAAAAGTGTAACTATGCAGATGCCTTTTAGACCGGATGTAAATTTGCATTGAAGCTGATGCAATGATTGTGTAACGTACAGAATGTGTGTTTGATTTTTGGCAATAGCTGGATGGAATGTATATGAATGCAGTTTTCTAGACACACCACACATTATAAAAATGTCTGTATACAGACATTTACCAAATACCGCTTTAAACCTACAGGGAAATCATGAGGTAAATGTAAGCAACAAACCAGATATTTTTTCCTCCCTTTGTTTGTGAGTCTCTCAGCTTATCTGAAAGAATATTAAGCAGAAATGGGTGTATTTTTGTAATGATGATATTTCCACTGTCATCTTACAAATAGCCGTTTCTATAAAAAGAAAAAAGTATTAACTTGCAAATCTAGTTGTATGTTTACCCTGTCAGCCTCTGCGTAGAATGGAAGGAGTGGAATGTGATCTGACATGTACGAGGTGTGACTTCATCAAAGAATGCACACCAGGTATCGGGCAATTCATACAGCGAGAGCTTGCTCACTTTTCATGATCCGATACCATTTTATATCCTCAGTTCACTGTCTGTATTCATATATAGCCCCTGCCAGCTGCACTAGATGTTTTTTCCAAAGTGTGTGTGTGTGTGTGTGTGTGTGTGTGTGTGTGTGTGCGCGCGCACGCGCACGCACGTTTTCTTAATTGGCCAGAGGGCTGGCGATATTTGAATGCCTTTTTGACACTTAGCTGTTAACAGGTGGCACAATGCTCAGGTTCAGCATTTGTTTTAGTGCAGAGACGAGAGCACTACAGGATACCTCGCCCTGTACAATGTTACTGCAGGTAGGTAGGGCTTCATTACCCCGGAATACTGAGGGAGAGGTACCCCGGTTATTAGCTGTATATACTGTGTGTCTGTGCGGATATATCCAATAAGCAGACGGTCTGCCCGTGTACAGCTTTCCTCAGGGATCCTTCTGATCGTTACATCACATTAAAGGGACACTATAGTCACCAGAACTACAGCTTATTGTATTTGTTCTGACAAGTATAAATCATTCCCTGCAGGCATTTTAATGTAAACACTGTTTGTTTCAGAGAAAATGCAGTGTTTACATTATAGCCTAGCGGTACCTTCACTGGCCACTCTGCATATGTCTACTAGAGGTGCTTCCTGGGGCAGTGCTGCACACTGTGACTGACATTCACTGTATCCACCCTCTGCATGGACACACTAAACTTTGCTCATAGAGATGCATTGATTCAATTCAAATGCTGATTGGCCAAGGTTGTGTTTGGCTCCACCCCCGGCACACCTCCATGGCTGAGAACATCAGAATTGACAATCTCAGCCAATCCAATGCTTTCCTGTGGGAATGACAGGGGGCTAGATAGTGTTGTTAACACTATTGGGTAAGGAATACAGGTTTGTGACCCTATAGTGTTCCTTTAATACATTCTCCTGGTTCATTGGAGTGTCTGGTGTCTACCTCACCAAAACAACGCACAGACACCTACTCACATCACTGTCAGCCATATCAACTACTTCATATTTTGCCCTCGCATGCACAGTAAGTTTCAATGCATCAATCAATGCAGCAGACTGTAATAGTTAAAACCAATGCAGTAGGGGGGGAGAGGGGAGTAGCTAGCGCTTCGACATAGAGATGTCGCAGTTACTCAGAGAACTGGCATTCTAAGCAAATTACTGACTAGAAACAGCACTTAAGGAAAAAATTTATTATTTTAGAAAAACCAAGACAGCGAAAAGTAACGCTTACACTAAATCCCCCAATATCAAGAAATGCAGAACACAATTTAACATGAAACTCACAATTCCCACCAAAATTCCAAAGTTAATGAAGAAATCTCAATGCATTGTTGGCCTTCACAAAAATAAGTAGCTTTGCCCCGCAAGGTGCTGAAAGTATAGAATGTCTTGTTATTGTGCCGTTAGTGTGTTTTACTCAATAAACAAAAATGGGGGGGGAAACCCTGAACTGCGAACATAATATAATTCTTCTAATTATAACGTTATGATATAATCAGCTCCTAGTAGAAGTAATAAAAGCAAAGTAAAATATTAGGAACATTCCACCAGTTGCCACGGTAACTACTTTACTCTTAGAATGTTTCCCCAGATTCTAACCATTCTAGATACAATTCTAGAAATGTTTCTCTACTTTGATGCAGGTTGGCAACATTACAGCAGAACTGCAGAATGTCTCAACATCCTCAGCATTTAAACTACCAACGGTAGCGGGATTCACAGATTGGATTAAAATCTGTGTCTGTTATCCATGCGGGATTTAGGATTAAAGGATGGGACCTTTTTATATACCATATATTAGCAATTTCACATCCGTGAACCAAGCAAAAGATTTTCCCTCTCGTACCTTGTTCATTGGTAATTGACAAATACAAGTATCATGCCAATAAGGTATTAAACTATACACCCAGCCCGCTTTAGCAGCTCAAGGACCTGTGCCCATCCATTATGTCTTTCGCCAAGTTAAAAAAAAAAAAAAAAAAATTATACACACACACACACACACACACACACACCCCCACAATAACAATAAATTATTATTGGCAGTTTGTGATTCTGCATATTATTCACTTATATTTTATAATCCAATACCGTGTTTCAGAGTTTGTAAAAGTGTTAATAATGGTTCTCAACCAGATTGTGCAGTTACCAAGGTGATATCACTCCGTACTGAATTCACCAAAATTCCAAACCATCGCCTGTAATATTTTACTGACACATATATAGTAGAGCGAATGATTAATTGTGACCTCATTACCCCGATGCCTTCGCATGGCCTTAATAACCGCCTATGACTTAACAGGAAACATCTGAACTGCTGTCAAATGACTCAATTAGCCATAAACAGAGTCATAAACTCACCGGACCAGATCTGTGGCTTAAACATAGAGCCAATAGGCTGAGTTATTCAGTAAACCACAATTTACCAGAGGGCTGAAGATTTTAGGCAAAAACAGCCAATCGGGACAATTCTTTAAATTCTGTTTCTTTGGAGATTTTCATTTGCCTTTATTACATGACTAAAAAAATACAAAATCTGTTACACGTCCAAAAATGGATTTCTTTGTAGGATGGGAAGAGACAGAGCTCAAGGGCACTTTCTGATAATTTGTGACGTGTGCGAGTAGTTTCATTCATTGTATCTCAATAAATAAAATGTGTTCACCCCAAACTATCAGTGCAGCCTCTGTACAAAGCTCCCATAGAAAACCTGTCTGAGAATTAGACATTTCCAGATAGTCTGACTTGGTGGTAAAGTGGGAGGAGTTCCCCCCAATATTATAAAAAAAATTGTATTGAAAAATGATAATAGTTGGATGCATTTCTGCCTGATGCATTGTTACCCTCAAGGTTCCTGAAGGATTTCAGATGATTTGGGAAACTGATTCTAGAACACATTCGGTAACCTTTGGCACTCCAGATGCTTTTGCGAGTATTATGGCTGAAAGCATTATGGGACATGTGGTCCACAACATCTGGAGTGCCAAAGGTTGCCTACCCCCGGTCTAGATGTAGTATACTAGAAGCGCCATCTGTTTGACAACAACAAGGTTATTTACCAAAGTGGGTTCTCAAAGTGTATTTCAAAGTTACCAAACAACCCAAACGACACAGTTTTTTTACCGTTTAGTTATTATGTCCATACATTACTAACTCACTTTGAATTCTCACTTTGGTGAATAACCGTGCAAACCTATAAAACAGAGAATCTTTCCTCCTTTACATTTGTAATAAATGTGGCCAACACAACGATTTATTCACTAAACATTAGATTGGAGAGAATAGAATGTGGAATTCTAAAACAAAAGGCTGAAGCGGCTGATTTGCAAAAATGTTCCAATTCGGCAAACGTCACGGACAATTTTAGTCTAAATTTTACAGTTTGGTTCAGATCTCACAATTCAGTGTTCAGGGAAACCGTGTTTGCAGCTTAGACACAGTTTGTAGTTTGCAATTAAATGCACAATATGTATCATGTTTTTGTCAAAACTTCCCTTTAGCATTGATTGAAAGGATAAATAGCTTGCAGGAGGTTTGCTGTCTAATTTGCTGAATATTTACAACATTTAAACTAGGAGTGTTAACGTCCAAACAGAAAACACTCAAGTCAACGAAAACAAGAAAAAAAAAAAAAAAATCATCTAATATTTTCTGTCTCAAAACCGTAATATAGTCTAATATTAAGAGATTTAGAAGAGAAGGCAACTGACTAAATATAGAACATTTAATCTCTTCCAAATGCAGAAATAGAAACAAAAAAGCAAACCACGGACTATGCATTGGCTGATACTTCGCCACCAACCGTGCTTGTTCAGTAGCATCATGGAAGAATGACATTAAACTGCAGACTATTTGAGTCAATCTAGGCACCATAACCACTACAGCACCGACAGTTCCTACTTGCGCATTACTGATATCAATTCCTCCTCTGTTTAGACTAAAATCATTGGATGAAGAAATCAGCGGACGCTCTCAGCCAATGAGTTTTGTCTAAATAGTGACAACATATATTATAGATTATATTATTACATATTGCGGAAGGGGATCTTCTGCTTTGGATATAACATAATAGGGGGGCCTGGATGGTGGCATGAGTCAAACTGTTTGATAAAGGTTTTAGTACTTACCATGAGATGGCACCAGGGATATCCTGGCACCATAGCCATTACAGAGTGCTACAGTGGCTGTAAAGCGCTGCTGACCATGTAAATAATAATAATAATAATAATAATAATAATAATAATAATTAGGCAGAAAATACAAGAGAATCAATTTCATCTGTAAAATGACAATACTTTTTGCAATAACAGCAGGACTTAGAGAGCAGAGAACAGATATAGACTCCGTATGCTGCCCTTCAGTAATCTCCACTATGGGCTCAGACGAGTGTTAGCTCACATGCGCCATTACAGAGGGGAACCTCTCCTAACAGCATATCAGATTCATCTCCCCCTCAACAGAAACTCAGAGCTGACACGCAGGCAGACCCCTAATGGCAATATGTATGGCTAGCTGACCCAGCCAGTGCAAGAGAGACGCATACATCAGGCATTTCATGTCATAACTACGTCAAAGAGAAAAGAGCATAGTGTGACGGAACGTGATGTCATAACGAAGTCTATCAGACAGTGTCAGAGAGAACAATTTCTTATCTCACACTGTATGAGCCAAATAACCAGCAAATGTATACATCAAAGGACACCCTGTTTGTAGTATTTTGACACTGGCCTTGAGATAGTAATGCATTTTATACAGGGGAACTTGGCACAGTAACCAACGTCAATAACATTTCTTTTGGCATACAACCCCCCCCCCCCCCACCCCCATCCAGTATAGCAATTTGATCTATACACAGGCTAGTGTTTTGTATTGCTCAGATCCCAGAAATTGTTTCACTTTAACCCTATATTAAATGGAAAGTAATACGCCAGAACACAAATTTCACAATTAAAAAAAATAAATAAAAATGAGCCAATGAATTCTGTTAACCCATTTCCTGCCGTTAAACAGATTGCAAAACACATGAAAACCCAAAAAGCCAATAATTAGAAACCGGATGAAGTTAATCATCATCCTCTTGTTTTATGTCCTGTATAAGGTAACTCAGTCTTATACAAAGTACATCAACAATCAGCCTGACCGCTCAGGAACAATGCAGAGGTTAAATGATGTATATGTTGGTGGCTGGTCACATCTCACACTAGGGGCATGCAGTGCAGATACTCCATACTAATCTAGTAAGCAGCAGATTGCTGGAAGAAGCTAGACTTTGGCCTCAAACCGGATTCGGGGTTTCTACAGGAAAACATTATTCTGTTACACAATATCCATATCTATACAGGCAGCACATGTGAAGGTACACAATAACACACAGGATTAGTGTAATCACCCCAGGGGTTAACTAGCCATATCAAGCTGTATGCTCTGATAGATAATAACATTAACCCTGTCCTGACCAGAGGCTGCTTTTACCCAAAGGCCAAGTTGTAGGAATGTTACAGGTTTCAAACAATTCTAGTCAACAAAGTGTCTAATGGATAATAAACCAGATTAACAACAGAGAACTGGTGACAGGTAACCCAGTAATAACACAGGTAACCAATATAATACACAGACAGACAGACAGACAGACAGATCCCACATCCAGGTAGGTTAGAGACTTACCTGGGGTCTGTGACTGTATCTGGGGTTAGAATCCATGTCCTTCATGTTACCCTGAGCCTGGGTTTTGTATAAAGCTCACTGACTCCCTATTAGAGACTGACTGCTACTTCCTGTCTCAGCAGACTGTCTCTGGATGAGTTTCACTTGAAACCAGTCAGTCACTCCCACTCCATACAATGTCCTGGGCTTGCAGCCCCCTGAGGCTCACACTGAGGGTCTCTGGGACTCAGACTCTGCTAGTTTGGGATATTTTCTGTGTCTCCTCACCCTGTCAGCTCTCTATCCTGAGTGTGAGTTTCAAGGTGTGTCCTGGCCTCTTCCCACGAGACCTGCAGAGTCCCTCCCCCTCTGCTTACCTACAGACAGGTGAGGCCAGGGGAGGAGGGAGGAGGAGGGGGGTCACATTGAAACTGGATTCCCCTCCTCCCATTACCAGTCCCTGCCCACATGTGGCTCAGGCAGGTTACCAAAAAAGCTTAAAGCAGAAAATGGAAGGAAATGAACTGACATGAGAAGTGAATAGTGTCTGCCAAGCTGTGCCAACCACACCAAGCCCCATTCTCAAATAAAACACTGATATCAGGGGAAGGGCTTGGTCACAGCTTTATTAACCATTTATATTAAACAACTATTAACGTCCAGAGCCGGCTGAACAGGCCGGACGCAGGCAGGTATTATTCGATTCGCAATGGTCGTCCCCAAGCTAACCCTTTAATCGAGGCGCTGGCCAGGGAACATTCCGCTGCTGTGACAATAACTGCAAAAGAAAACACAAACACCACAACCAGAGAAATGAAAGGAGGGCAGTGATATGCTGCAACAATTTAAACAATTTCTAAAACATCCAAATACCTATAACCGCCTTGTGCAACCGTCCGTGGCCCGTATCACCTAAACGGTGCACTGCGCTTCCTTTTTATTGCACACTGTGTATGTAGGGGAGTGCGAACCCAGACTTTGTAAGACTCAGACTTCGAATTCTAGTAAACAAAAACAAACACCTTGTTATATTGGTATTTTTATATTTAACCCCTTAAGGACTGGACTGTTTTTGCGATGTTGTACATTTGCGACCAGGCATATTTTTACACTTTTGTGGTGTTTGTGTTTGGCTGTAATTTTCCGCTTTCTCATTTACTGTTCCCATACAAATTATATATTGTTTTTTTCAGGACAAAAGGGGCTTTATTTACATACCATTATTTATATAATCTCATGTATTTTAATTTAAAAAAAATAAAAAAATATGATGAAAAATTGAAAAAAATACATGTTTTTTGACTTTTACTTGAAAAATCTTTTACTCATCTACAAAAGCGAATGAAAAAAACTGCTAAATAGATTCAAAATTTTGTCCTGAGTTTAAAAATACACAGTGTTTACGTGCTTTTTTGCTTTTTTTTGCATGTTATAGGGCTATAGGTACAAGTAGGATATTGCGGTTTCAAAACATACATTTTAAAAATTTATCAATAGTGACATTGTAACACTATTATCTGTCATAAATCTCTGAATAACACCCCACATGTACATATTTTTTTTAAAGTAGACAACCCAGGGTATTCAATATGGGGTATGTCCAGTCTTTTTTAGTAGCCACTTAGTTGAAAACACTGGCCAAAGTAAGCATTCATATTTGCTTGTGTGTGAAAAAAGTAAAAAAACTAAATTGAACGCTAATTTTGGCCAGTGTTTGTGACCAAGTGGTTACTAAAAAAGACTGGACATACCCCATTTGCAATACCTTGGGTTGTCTTCTTTTGCAAATGGTATGCCATCATGGGGGTAATTCTCATTCCTGGGCTACCATACGCTCTCAAAGGCAACGTAACCAACCTGGCCATTTTCAATCTAAAAATATTTGACCCAAATATTTGACCTTGTAACTTTCAAAAATGCTATAAAACCTGTACATTGGGGGTACTGTTTTACTCGGGAGACATCGCTGAACACAAATACTAGTGTTTAAAAACTGGAAAACATATCACAACAATTATATCATCAGTAAAAGTGCTGTTTGTGTGTGAAAAATGCAAAAAAAGTCTCTTTCACTGACAATATCATCACTGTGATATGTTTTACTGTTTTGAATCACTAATATTTGTGTTCAGCGAAGTCTCCCGAGTAAAACAGTACCCCCCATGTACAGGTTTTAGGGTGTCGTAGAACGTTACAGGCAGGGGTCAAGTCCTGGGGAAAAAAGTGTGGGAACTCAAGATTCCCGCCGCCTCCCCCCCCCCTTTAAAAAAAAAATTTACACTCCTATGCATATAGTGCAGTGCAGGGTGTGTATAATTAATGTAGTGTGTTTGTAGTGAATGCAGAGTGTGTATAATGAATGCAGTGTGTTTTTAGTGAGTGCAGAGTGTGTACACTGAATGCAGTGTATGTAGTGTGTTTGTAGTGAATGCAGAGTGTGTATAGTGAATGTAGTGTGTAGTGAGTGCAGAATGTGCATAATAAATGCAGAGTGTGTATAGTGAATGCAGAGGGTGTATAGTGAATGTAGTGTGTTTGTAATGAGTGAAGAGTGTGTATAATGAATGCAGTGTGTGCGTGTGCGCGCTGGATGACGTGTGTGTGAGTGCTGGATGATGTGTGTGTGTGTGTGCTGGATGATGTGTGTGCGAGTGCTGGATGATGTGTGTGTGTGTGCTGGATGATGTGTGTGTGTGTGTGCTGGATGATGTGTGTGTGTGCTGGATTATGTGTGTGTGTGTGTGCTGGATTATGTGTGTGTGTGTGCTGGATTATGTGTGTGAGTGCTGGATTATGTGTGT